TGCCCGATTTCTTACTTGCAGTCCACTTGGCCTGAAACAGAACCCGAACGGAGGGGCACGGCCCCAGAGGGAGTAGGCGTAAAGTTCAGGAGCCTCGGCAGAGAGGACTAAAGGTTTTCAGGTACACCGGAGGGGTCGATAGTGCCCTGGACGATTGAATCAAGTTAGGAAGCTTTCGGCAGCCGTTGTGGTCCCACAGGGCCAGTAAATCCGCTCCCCCTGACACACGCACGCGACAGTGGCTCTCCAGGAGGAAGCCGCAGCCTCCTCTGCCCTGTATTTGCTTTTAGCTGCTGCCCTGAACTTGCTCCTCGTACCCTCACCTGAACCCCTTGGGAGCCCACCCAGAACAAATGGAAACTCCCAAGGTGGTGGTCAAGCTCCTCTATGAACGGCCACGTACGTGGCTCTAAAAAAGAAAGGCCATACATGGAAACTTCCGACAGGCCAGGTCCTGCGTTCAGGACTGTACACGCCACAAATTTTTGCCACGGGGATCGCACCTCCCATCTCACAAGGCCGGCGGCTGGAGGTCGGAGAGTCCAGCTAGTTGCCTTCGGTCCATCGCAAGTGGGGAGGCCAGGATTTCAATCCGGAACTGCCTTGATTCTGAACCCTGGCTCACGACCACTGTGCCTTCTGTCTGGACAGGAGACAAGGGGGAGCGATGGGGGAGGCGCCCAAAATGCAGAGCCCACAGGGAGGAGGAAAATCGGTTCCGTGAGCAACGCGTGGCCCGCAAGGAATAGAAGGTCTAGAGGGTCCTCGTGGGGGATGCTGGATCCCAGGGGTAAAGCAGATCTTTCTGAGCTCCCCGCCCCTCCCAGCCCGTGTAACACATACAGCTGTGACCACCAGGAAATCTTCCCGAGGCCTCCGCATCCAGCACGGGCCGGATCCAAACTCCTCACATCAGTCAAGGCCTTTGTGACCGCACCTCAACCAGCCTCGTGGCCTCCTGTCACTCAGTCACCGCGATCCTGCCCCCTGGGCGCAGGGCTGGTCCCTGGGCCCACCTACAAGCCCTCTTCCACAGCGCCCCCACCCTGCTGCCCGAAGTCCACGTCTTTCAAGGCTCCTTCCCTGAAAGGGGCCTCCACTGGCTCCTCTAATTGCGGGTGCACGCCCTGTGCCCTCCCCCAGAACCCGGACCTGGCACCCAGCCCCTGTCCGCTGAGGGCTGCTTCTGGTCACCCTGTTGCGCTGTGAGCGTCGTCCCACGCTCGCCAGCGGCTGCCCAGCTAGGGACTCCCAGCCTTTGTGTCGCACATCATGCACTTCAATAAGACAAGTTCCCCAGCCTCTCAGCCGCAGCTCTCTCCTCTATAAGAAGCAGCGAGGAGACTCCACCTCGTAGAACCGCGAGGATGAAATTTGAGGATCCAGGCAAAGCTCGGAGCACGTTGCCTGGCACACAGGAGATGCTTGTAAAATATTAGCTATTGATATGGAATGACGTTGATAACGATTGTTTTAGAATAAATACGTGGGAGATTCTGCCCCGAGCCCCTGGTACCCCCACGCTGGAGAGGAGAGGGCAGTGGTAGTTTTTAGGGCTGCGGAGGTCACCAGCTCTGCTCTGAGCTGGCCTGGTCCGGAGGGAAGCCAGAGGCACTAGGGCCTCTTTCCGCCCCTGCCTGCCACCCCTCCAGGCTGGAGCCACAAATATAGCAGGAAAGGTCGGCAGGGGGTGAAGGTCGCGTCTGGGGGCTAAAGAAGAAGAAATCGTCCGGGGTCGCCCAAGTGAATGCGTCAGGCTCAGGGACCCAGCGGAACGCCAGCGCCCCCCCACCCGCCCCACCCCGCCCGCCCCGCCCCGTCCGCGCTCCCCCCGCCGCGCGCCTGCCTTCGCTCGCGGGCGGCGCGCTCCGCAGGGAGAGCGGGCTGGAGGTGCCTACTCCCCGGGCGCCCGCGCCGTCCCCGCGCCCGCCTCGGAGCGCGCCCCACTGCGCAGCCGGGGCGCCCCCTCCTCTCTCCCCCCGGGCCGGGGAGCCAGGGCGCAGCGCCGGAGCCCGGGGGGAGCGCGGCCCCGCCGGCCGGCCGGCCAGGGCTGGGGGCAGCTAGGACAGCCCCGGGTAAGCGGCGGGAGGAGGGGGACGCGGGCGGGGCCGGGCCGGGCCGGGCCGGGGGCGGCGCGGTGTCGGGGTAGGTGAGGGGGGACGACCGGGGCGACTGGTGCTGGGGCGAGGACGGAGGAGGGGGCCGGCGGGCGGGCGGGGAAGCGGAGCGGGGCGGCCACGTGAGAGCTGGAGCTGGGGGTTGGGGGTGCTTGCAAGGTGCTGGAGGCGGAGAGCAGGCTGGGCTCTGGTATCCCCCCCTCCCCAACTCCTACCAATCAGGTCATGGGGAGACGAGCATCCTTCGAAGCCCCCACCCACCCATTCCTACACGAACGTGGTGGGGACAAATAGCAGACAGACGTGTGACTCGGCCCACTGGGACCGAAAAGGCCCGGTCCTCAGTCTGGGGCAGAGACTCAGGTGGCCAGGCGGAGGGCAAGGGACAGACAGGCTTTGGCCCCTGTGTGTGTCCCCAGTCTCTTGCCCGGCGCTGTCTGCAGACTCACTGCAGAGTGCAGGCCTTGGGAAGGGAGCGCTCAGGGGCTGGGCCCTGCCTCCCTGGACAGCCCCCTTTCACCCCCACCTGCTGGGGACGTTGGCTCTGGCTCGGTAGACACTTAGACCCAGGACCCCTGCCTGGGAAGAGGGAGGGGGCGCCAGTCACCTCTGAGTCAGGGGTAGGACCACACTGGGGCCTGGTGAGTTCAGGAGGCTGCCCCAGCACGGGGCCTCTCGCACCCTTCCCTGGCCTTAGCACCGTGCCCGCTTTTATTTCCCTGTTATTCCCCTGAAAGGACTGATTTCTGGGCAGGAAGTGTGGTGTCCTGGAGAATAGGCAGGTAGGGTACATCCTGGATACCTCTAAGCTGCCACACCCAGAGAGCAGCAGAGGCTCTTTGGATTCCTTGCCCTCTCTCCCTCCCCTGGGACATCCCCCTCCCCACCTGCCTGTGTGAGTTATGTAATTAACCCAGCTCTCTGTCACACCAACCCGTGTGTCAGTGCCTGGGGATGCCTGAGGGGCCGAGGGCCTGCAGGGGGTGATGGGGAGGGGGGACTAGTACTTACCCCATTCGGGAGCCCATAAGCACCTGTTGAGGAGAGGACGCTACACGGGGCAGGAAGGAGGTCGAGGCCCTACTCTTACCTCACAGCTCAGCTGGCTCTGTGGCCTGCACTTCCTTAGGTCTCTGTTTTTTGGTTCTTGTTTTTACCTTCAATAAAAGGGGGGGAAAGAATTACACACATGCACGCACACACCACACAAAACAATTATGGCAGCAACAGTGGACAGTGAGTGATCTCGGGGCCGCCAGGAGGTCCCAGCCACCTGAGATGAAGGAAGGGCCGCTGTTCAGAACAGTAGCTGCTCTTCATTGGACACCTGCTCTGAGCCAGGCACCGGGCTTTGCCTGTACAACCTCATTCCACCTGCCTCGGTTGCCCCAGGTCACACTTGAGGTGAGTGGCAGAGCTGGCACTCCAACCCCGGGGGGTCTCACTCCAAGTCCCGCCCTTTGTTCACTCTTCTGTCACTACACGTATCTCGGGGGTCGGGTCCTCCCAACCAGGACGAGCTGAGGCGCGTGCAGCTGTGAGCTGGGCGCACGTGGCAAGGCCACGGGGAGCATACACAAGCCAGAAAAGCTCGGCCCAGTCGAAACCCCGCAAGCCCGTCTGCCCCGCACCCATTCGACAGGCACTGGGGTCGTCCTTCCTGGGAATATGGGAATAGTCCCCCCACAGGAAGTCTCAGGCATGTAGCAGATTCCTTGGTCACCATCCCCCCAAAAAGGAGCAGGCACCCAGCTAAGAGATTTTTGTGGCTTATCTCAGAAATACGGGCTCTCGATCTCCCGTTAGACACTCATGCAGAACACGCCTCAGGTTGGGCGGCTGATCCGCCCGCTGACCCACAGCTGGGACATCGCAGCAGCTGGGGTTTGTAGCCCGGCTCTAACATCACTGGAAGGGAGCAGGCAGAGCTGATGAATCGGTGGCAGGGTCCAGCCGTGGGCAGCCCTTCCCTGGCTGCTGGCGCACCTGCTGGGTGCCAGGCCCTCCAGGCCCAGGGGGTTGCCAGGAAATCAGACACAGCCTTGGCCTGTGGGCCAAGCTGCAGGCACTACACTGGAAGTCGGAAGTGCTGTGGCATTGTGGAGAGGAAGAGCTGGCATTCCCGGCTGTGTGACTTAGGGTACGCTCCTCACCTCCCTCCGAGCCTTCTCTCTGGAGTGGGAATGCCCATCCCCGAGGCGTCTTGTATTCACAGAGGATAACCTGTGGGCACGTACGCTAACAGAGCGGGTGCTCAACAAGTGCTGTCCTCCAGAGCCAAGCGGTCACCTCGCCCAGGGGTGGGGAGGCATTTGGGGTCGTCATGGTGACTGGAGACGGCTGCCGCTGGCAGCTGGGGATGTGAAACGCCCTGCAGTGTGCCCCATCGGTCCTGCCCTGTGAGGAATTCGCCCTCTGAGAAATGCCGGGAGAGCCTCCGCTGAGAGACAGGGCCGGCTCGGCGGGACGCTGAGCTCGGGTGCGCTTTCCGTGGCGGCAGCTCCGCAGCCTGCCCCGTGGGCCTGCGGTCAGTCAGAACGCCCATCATGAAAGATTGAGTCCCTCTGGCGGAGGGCAGGGGGGAAAATGGAGAAGGAAGGAGGGAGAGGATTTGGGTGGATGAGACACGGGTTCTGGGCAAGGGAAGGCTCTCCGGGAGGCAGTAGCAGCTTCAGCCAAGACCCCGAAGTGGAAAAGCGCAGCGATGTCCGGGAAAAAGCCGGCCCACCAAGCCCACCTCTTGTCCCCACAGTCCAGGTGGAGGCTGCAGAGGGCCCAGGGCAGGCAGGGGCGGCAATGATTGGTCCTGACGGTGGCTGAGCCCCCAGCCCCTGGAATATGCAGCCCAGGGGAGCCCCACGCATCGGCGAGGACTTGGTGGCGGCGCGGGGCGGGAGGCATGGTCTCCACCTACCGGGTGGCCGTGCTGGGGGCTCGAGGCGTGGGCAAGAGTGCCATCGTGCGCCAGTTCCTGTACAACGAGTTCAGCGAGGTCTGCGTGCCCACCACCGCCCGCCGCCTCTACCTGCCTGCCGTCGTCATGAACGGCCACGTGCACGACCTCCAGATCCTGGACTTCCCGCCCATCAGCGCCTTCCCTGTCAACACGCTGCAGGTAGGAGGGCCCACAGGCGGGGAGGCTGTCGGGGAGCGGAGGGGCGGGCAAAGGCTGGACTCCAGCCCCCCCTCCCAGGCCCTGGCCCAGAGGGCCCCGCGCTGCACCACGGGGCACCCTGCTCAGATCCAGCCCAGGAACCTGTTCGTGCGCTGGTTCATTCCACTGGTATTTGATGAGCATTTTCACATGTGCCGGGCCCTGTACTGAGCGCTGGGGGAGAGGGGTCTGTAGAAGGGGCAGAAGAAAAGGCCAGGGCCTGGGAACGGTGTGTTTTCAGAGACGCGGGCCTTTTCTCCAAAGTGACGCTCTGGCCTGCTCTCGGGACTGGCCTACTGTGCCCCCTTCCTGCAGGGGTGGATCAGGTGCTCCAGGGCGCTGGCTACAGTGCTCCTTCCCCAGGCATGTAGGGACCAGGTCCTCTTTGCCTCCCTCTACCTCTGGCCAAGGGGAGGAGGGGGGTGGGTGCATAGGCAGGTTGAGCCGTGAGACAGGTTTGCCCACTGAAGGCAGCCCCTGACCAGAGGGTGCAGAGGTTCTGCTCAGGAGGGTGGGCGCAGTGGTGGAGATAGGGAGGCGGGGGCCGCGGCCTGGCCAGTTGTAACTGTGCAAATACAGCGACCTCTCAGGTAGCAGCTAGGGAGGGACGGAGGCTCAGCGCTGTCTCAGCAGCCCTGGCGGGAGGGCCTTGGCCCGACCTCGGGGACACGTGTTTCTGCCATCCCAGGTGCAGGGGATCAGCACCAAAGACAAACGCCTGACCCGTGCGTCTACCACCCCTTGGGAGCAGCGAGGCCAGGGCAGTGGGCTGGGGTCAGGGCCTAGTTGGCCAGAGGAGACGTGAACGGCAGCCGGACGCTCCGATCTCACTGCCGTCCTGCACGCTGAGCTTTGGGTATTTTTCACTCTTTGTTACGTCCTTAATTTTAGTTTAATTTCAAGTTTGGCAGAGGTAAGACACTATTTAAAAGAGCAAACTTGGTAAAAAGGGACACCCGGAGAAACCTCAGTCCCCACCCTCTCTCTTAGCCATTCTCCTTGTCATTTTTTAACTCATTCTTCCCGTGTTTCTTTACACAAATAAGAAAATGAGGTCTTATTCCACTGCTTTTCTTACATTAAAACAAGAGCTGTTCTGCACCTTGTTTTCTGACTTCCCGTTACCACCTGGCGGTCTTCCTGCGTCGGTACCTGGAGGCTGTCTTCGCCTTTTTCTCGGGACTATGTTGGATTCCATCGCAGAGATGCACTGGGGAGTCCCCTCTGGTTCACAAGCGGGCTGTTTGCAGTCTTTTGCTGTTTCACCTAATGCTACAATGAGTAGCCTAGTACACAGGGAAGAATATTGTGGGATGGATTTCTGGAAAGGCATTGCTTAGATCAAATGGTTAATGCATCTGGAGTTTGGAAGGGATCAGAGTCCCCTCCCGTCGAGAAAGTTCCAGTGCATGTGAGTGCTGTTTCCCCAGAAGATTGTCATCAGTGTATTGTCAACTTTAGGATTTTGACAATCCGCTAGATGAGATTTGAGCATCTCAGTGCAGTTTTTATTCGCATCTCTGATGATGAGTGAGGTTGATCATCTTTTCACATGTTTAAGGGCCCTTGGATTTCTTTTTCTGACAACTATTAATGCCTTTGCCCATCTTTCTATTGGATTGTTGGCTTTCTTCTTTCTGATCGACTGAGTTTTGGACTCTTCCGGATGTCCAAGACCTCATTCCTGGACCACAGGGAAGGGACACTGAGCAGAGAGGTACTGAGAAAGGACCCAGGAAGCCTCAAAGATCAAAATAAAACCCAAGAATCCTGATGGCCACCCTCTGAAAATAGAATAAAGATGCACTCTCCCCCAGCTCCAGTTGAAACGCAGCCCCGGGGAGTGCTGAGTCCTGGCTCTGAGCCCCAGTTGTTCCTTCCACGGCCCCCTCACCTCCCACCGAGAAGGGAGCTGAAGTTAGAGGGCGCGCAGGGCCCCACGGAAGTGAGCAGGAAGCGCTTGGTGGAGACCCGGGCATTGAACCCGCCTCCTCTCCTGCCCTGTCTTCACACAGCCCTGAGGTGGTCTCTTGTTGAGTTGGCCAAAAAGTCCGTTACGTCCTTTACCATACGATGACTCTAGCAGTGTGCAGTTGTCTTTAATTTCATTTGAAATGGTTTCGTTAGATTGTGACAGCTGTCATATCAGCGTGTATTACGGAAAAAAAAACTTATCAGAATTGGTGGATTTTTGTGGAGCTCTTTCAGCATTGAAGATGGAAGAAAATATGCAACATTTTTGGTGCATTTTGCTTTATTATTTCAAGAAAGGTTAAAATGTGACTGAAGTGCAAAAAAAAGACATGTGCCGTGTATGGAGAAGGTGCTGTGACTGATCGAATGTGTCAAAGGTGGTTTGGGAAGTTTCTTGGTGCTATTGGCATTTTGGCCAAATAATCCTTTGCAGCGGGGCTGTCTTATACATTGGCAGATGTTTAGCAGCAGCCCTGGCCTCTGCCCACTGGAAGCCAATAGCGGGAGAGCCAACATACTCAAAATATCCAAATCAATCAAGTTATTTGTGAAAATGAAAAATGCCTTTTATTTTATGGAAAAAACATAATGGACTTTTTGGCCAACCCAATACAACCTGGACCCCTGTGCATGGCAAGCTGGAAGGAAAGTCGCGTTTTCTTGCTCCCTCTCTTCAACCAGGGGTGAAGGCACAAGCCAGCCATTCTGGATCCTCCCTCTGCTCCCTTTTAGGAGCCTCCAGAGAGCGAGTGGAAGGCAGCCTGGAGGCCTCCTGGAGGAGGCGACATGTTGGGGAAAAGGGGCTGTCACCCTGGAAGGCTGGTGGCTGTTTCCTCTCCCGGCCGAGAGCCAGAGCGGGGCGGGAGCCTCTGCCCATTTCAACACCCCTCCTGCTTCCCACTAACTTCCCCCGCTGTGTGGGGCAGGGAGGAACCGCGCGCCCGTGTGGGCCCTGCGCTCCTGGGGCTCCGCGTGTCCGGCAGAATGCTGTTTTCCCTGGCCCGAGAAGCCAGTTAATGGTTCCCCACAGCTTTCTATTCATCCTCAGCATCTTCTCCCTGCACCAAAGTTAAAACTCAGCACAAAGAGAAGATGCCACATCATCTCCCTGAGGAAATCAACTGCACCAGCTGGAAGCCTTTGAGTTGGGAAGTACCTCTCTGGAGTCAGACGTAACCCTCTGTCACCGCCACCGAAGCCTTTTCCTTTTCGCTCCCTCTGAGGTGGAGAGCCAGCTGTAGGCCTCCTTCACGCCTGGTCTTTGCCCCAACCCACAAGCCGGCCCAGGACACGTGCCTGCCCCTCCTTCTCATATGTGGCCTGGCCCCTCAGGGGAGAAGACCCCGGTTGCCCTTGTCCTCGAAGGCCTCTTCCTCCCCCAGCTTCAAAGTCCACCTTCCTTCCACACACTGGCTGCCTTCAACGGCTCTTGCAACTGCCATCTGCTGGCAAGTTAATTAGCTAATTAATTCTTGAGGAACCTTCTCTTTAGTGCACTCAGCCTTTCCAGGGGTCTATTCATCTTGAGCTGCAGCCCCGCCCTGAGAACTTGTCATAAGCGTTCAGAAGTTCCGGCTCCCTGGAGCTGGCTCCGGGCCCTGCTCCACGTCAGCCGCCTTTACGCATCCAGCCTCCGTCTTTTCTCCGCGGGCCTTCTCGTTCTCAACCTTGCGGTCAGAGTGGAGCCTACAGAAGGGGCACAGCGGGTAGCAATCTGAGGGCCGTGATTGCTGGCGGGAGTTGCATTGACCCCAGCCTGGACCAGCTGGTGTTCAGGACCATGGAGAGCTCGCCAGTTAGGCGGCTGCTAAGAGCCAACACAGTGCAAGGCACTAGGTGGGGAGGGGGAGGAGGTATGTATCGTGAGCATGGCTTGGCTCTGGCCCTCCCAGGAGCTCACAGCAGAAGTGGGGAGCTGGGGGTGGCAGCAGCTCTAACCAAGGTATACTCCCAAGAGACAAAGGGAGGAGCCCCCTGCTTGTAGGAAGGCTTCTTGGAGGAGGAGGCATTTGAGCTGAGCCTTAGAAGCTAGAGACTATTTCAACAGCTAGCTCAGGGCTGAGCTCTTAGAGACACTTAGTAAGTATACTTGAACAAAGATGCATGGATGGATGGATTGGGGGGCAAAGTGGTAGAGGCATATCTCAGCCTGATACACGCACAGGGCCGTGCAGTGGCCCTCGAGATCAGACACTGTGACCTGCCCCATCCTAGCGTGAGGTGGGGAAGCCACAGCGCTGAGCTCCATTCTCCACTGGCGCTGGCCTCCCGGGGGTACGTGGGCACAGCAGGCTTGGGGTGTAGAGGCAGGTGAGAGTGCTGTCAGTCTGTGGCCAGAGGTGGCTGGGGGCAAGGGGGGCCCCCACGCCCGCCCTGACCCTGGCGCCGACGGGGGCGTTGCAGGAGTGGGCAGATGCCTGCTGCAGGGGACTGCGGAGCGTCCACGCCTACATCCTGGTCTACGACATCTGCTGCTTTGACAGTTTCGAATACGTCAAGACCATCCGCCAGCAGATCCTAGAGACGAGGTGAGGGCCCAGCATACAGTCCGTTTCACCTCAGTGGTGTCCCCGGGCTTGCCAGTGCCCCTGAAAAGGGTACATGGGGGTGTGCAGATGAAGTAGCCTCCGGCTCCCCTGCGCGCACTCAAACACGCACACGCACTCGTGAGGTTTTGTTGTTCACTCACTTCGGGACCTTGACATGGGGTGGCTAGTCTAGTGCAGTGGTTAGATCAGGGGCCCGGGGAACAAGACTGCCAGGGCCGCTCGGCTGCATGACTTGAGGCCAGCGAGTGCGTAAGTCTCCGGTTGGTTCCTCGTCTGCAGGATGGGGACGGCAATAGCACCCACGTTTTGCATCAGTTGTGCAGATTGGAGAGTGTAACGTATCCCCAGAGCTAAACCCTGTTCCTGCAGCAGACGCGTGGCAGCTCTGTTACTGACTAGGCCCAGCCTGTCCTCATTGAAGTCCGGTGGCTGCCGCACTGGTAGGATTCTGAGAGTCCCACCTCGTTCCCCAGGGTGATCGGCACCTCCGAGACGCCCATCATCATCGTGGGTAATAAGCGGGACCTTCAGCGCGGACGCGTGATCCCGCGCTGGAACGTGTCACACCTGGTGCGCAAGACCTGGAAGTGCGGCTACGTGGAGTGCTCGGCCAAGTACAACTGGCACATCCTGCTGCTCTTCAGCGAGCTGCTCAAGAGCGTCGGCTGCGCCCGCTGCAAGCACGTGCACGCCGCCCTGCGCTTCCAGGGCGCGCTGCGCCGCAACCGCTGCGCCATCATGTGACGCGCCCTCCCCGCCAGCCCCGAGGCCGCCCGCGGGCGGTCGCCGCTGCCTCCGCGGCAGCTCCCAGATGGGACCGCGGGGCTTGAGCTGCGAGTGGCGGGAAGAGAACTCTCAAGTGCCGGGCCTGAAATGCCCCCGCAGCCGCGCGCCTCCCCGGGAGAGGCAGAGGGCAGAGAGGGCGCCCCCGCAGGACTGCTCGGCCCTCCCTCTCTCGCGTCTGTCTTCCCCGGACGGCCTCCTTTAGGGCTGTAGTCAGTGCAGTGCCCAGCCAGGCCCCCAGGGGGCGCCGGAGATGGAGGGTGGGGATGGGGAGGCGTTGCCTTAGCCGGGCCCCCGCCCACGTTCTCCGAGAGTGTATCTGTCATTTCCCCGTGTCCACCTGTCTGCCCAAGTGTCTCTTGGTCCTAAGCGGTCTCACCCACCCCTTGGCCCGCCTCCCCGCCCGCAGCTCTGTTCACAGGGCTCGCATTTCGTCCGCCCCCTGGTTGCTGGCAGCTTCTTTGTGAGGCCCGCCTTCTCACCCATCAGCGCGCCGGCACAGGACAGAGCGGTGCGGGTGGCCCGAGGACCGGCCACAGTCACAGTCGGGTCGGAGGGTTGAGGTCCCAGAGCAGTCCGGGGGAGAAAGCTGAGCTGCACCCCCTCCAGGGAGACCTCCCCACCCAGCAGCCCCCAGAGACACAAAAACCTACCTTCCAGCCTTAACTCGATGGTCCGTCCCTGCCGGGTGCCCCTCCCTTTCCTGACCCCGAAGCCAGACCACCCCCTGGGTTAAAACTTTTTTTCTTGGCAGAATGTGGAGAGGGAATCCCCAAAGGAGAGACTGAGTTCCAAGGCGCCAGGTTCCAGCCGTTTATTTCTTCCTGCGTTGGGTGGTCCCTTAGATTGGGGGATGCTGGGTTTGGGGAGCTGTGGGGGGCAGGCTGGTTCCCGCAGGCCGGGTTGCGGGGGCCAGGTTGTGCCAGTGAAGACTCTGTCTCCCCATCCCACCCCAGTCTGATGCCCCGGGCTCTGCCCGCTTGGGTCTCAGATTGCCCTCATTAACCCGGGGAGGGGTAGAGCCAGGAAAAGAATTACGGGGCCCCCTTGCCGGAGGGAGGCGCGCCCGCACCCCCACCCCCGGGCGGAGGCCCTCAGGATCTTGCCTGCCTTGTCCCAGCACCAGGGGGCCCTGCGCCCGGACTCTATCCGCCCGGTTTTCTCTGGCTGCCCGGCCGGGCTTCTACCTCTCCTCACCGGAGCTGGTTACTGTCAGTTTTGTACGAATTTGGAAATAACAAAAATAATGAAGATTAACAGGAGCGGCCTGAGGGATCCCTGGGGGACGCGGAGGGCACTAAATGGGCGTGTCCCCTGCTCCCTGGTCCAAGATCTCCCTGAGCGTGAGCCCTCAGCCTTGGTCTGGTGGCGGGAGAGCGAAGTCCCTGGTGAGAAGAGGGGCAGATAGGACAGCCCAGCCTGGACCTGGCCTGGCTACGCGGTACAGACAAGGAAATTAGGGGGCCCAGAGCGGTGACAGAGAGCAGTCGGGGGGAGGGAAGGTGGGTGGCGGGTCTGTCACCCAGGTCCAGTGTGAGAGGTCTGTGACTTCCCCAGCTGACATCCCCTCCGCCCACCTGGTGGCACAGCCCTACAGTGACGGCCACGACCTCGCGCAGTCCAGGATTCCTGGGTTCTGGCCCCTGACGTGCTACGTGGATTTGGACAAGTGACCTGCCCTCTGAGCCTCCCTCTGAAGCGGAGGAGGTGGCTCCCTTTCCCCACACCTTGGAGTGGCTGGGAGGGTAAGGAAGAGGGCCCGCCCCCGCCCCCCACCCCCCGAGTCCCGGGCGGGGTGTGGGAGGGCAGTGTCTCACCGTCACCGTCGCCCCCAGCTCTGAGGCACCCGAAGTGGGGGTGGGGGGCCCAGGCCTCTGGCTGCCCCCGTGGGAGCCATTGGAATGTGCCGCCTGGCCGGCCCACCCCGCCCCTCCGCTTCACCCCAGGTCTTTGATTTCGATTCCCTTCACCCTCATTCTGAGTCTCTGTCCTCCCTGCCTCCCTCCCCTGCCCCCCCACCCAGGGTTTCCCACCACAGGGTCTGGAAGTGTGTGTGACGCCCATCGCGCTATGATCGGAAGTCAGATTAAAATTCAGGGAGTGTTTTCCCTCGTTTCTGTACCAGGTCTTGGCTCGGCTTCTGACAGTAGAAGGGAAAGGGCTCTGCTGGGCAAGGAGGGTGACGGGCGGCCCTGAGCCCCGGCTCCCAGGTCACCCCGGAGAGCTAAGGGGAAGGCTTTGGGACTCTTCCTCTCCGCCTGGCCCTGGGCCCTCCCGCTGACCACACCCATCCACAGGGGAAGGACGCCGTCTCTCCCCCCCCCCCCCACCCCCGCGCCGCTGTCTCTGGGAAAGTTTTTATAACTGGACTCAGTCCCAGCTTCTGCCTCTGAGTCTCGGTCTCACTTGCTGCTGAGCCTCTGTGGCCCCTCCGTCCTGACTGCAAGGGCGAAGATATGTGCACACCCAGCCGTCCCCCTCGACTCTGAGCGATCACAGGTCCCGACCCGGAGCACAGCTTCCAAGCGGCCCGGGAGCCTGGATCGGGCGGCCCTTGCTCCTGTCCATGGTTCTGACGCCCCAGCCGCTTCCCGGAGACCGGCTGTGCGGGGCCAGGCTGGGCTGCTCCACCCCAGCTCCCTCCCCTCGTCACCTCCCCCTCCAGTGGGAGCATGTGTGAGGCCACCTGTCCCTGCGTCACTGCAGCCCGAGAGAGAGGGACTCGAGCTGGACACTCAACGACAGACGGACGTGTATTTAATACCTTATAAGAGCCGTGGGAACAGGGGGCATGGCCAGCAGACGGTTTGGGGAGCTGCCTTGGGGGAGGGTGATAAGGTAGAGGGTGGCCCGCTGTCCCCGTCCTAACTCCGGAGTTGGGATGGGAGTGATGGGTTGCCCATTTGTTAGTCTGGGCTGATCGAGGCTGTACTTGTCTTCCGACCTCTCCTGCCCGCGGCCCTGTGTTGAGGTGGGCGACCTTCTCCTCTGTTCCCACAGCTGGGAGTCCAAAGGATTCTCGGGCTTTCTTCCACAAGCCCAGGAGTAGGAGCCCCTCCTTACACCCAGGACTCCTCCTCCGGAGGCAGCGGGGCTCCGTCAGGCGGCTGAGGCCCCAGGCCTGAAGGCTGGGCTCTGCTCTCCACTGCAGCCACGGGCTCTTTCCCCTTTCCTCCCTCCTCCTCCCTTGCCCAGGCTCCATCCACCAGAGCCACCTCCCCTCCCTGGCTGCCCCGCGCTGGCGCTCTCTCCAGCCTGCCCCTAGGGGGCGCCCTGGCTGGACCCAAGGGGAGGTATCCCAGGGGCTTGGGGATTCGTGAAGGCCTTTCCTCAGGCCTGTGGTCTCTCCGGGGCCGGATCCTGGGCCTCAGCTTCAGCTTGTAGATAGATGGAACTCTCTGCGGCTTCCGGAGTGTTCTCTTGCCCTTGCCTGGACATGCCTTGGCTTTGTCAGAGTTTGGGTCTGAGGGTGAGGGTGCGGGGGCCTCCAGGCTGGCAGACAGGGTAGGGACCGAGCAGTCCTGCCCTCCTTGGGCCGGGACCTCCCTCACCCTGGTGCCCCTGTCACTCAAGGCTGCCCTTGTCCTTGGTCCACTCTCTCTGGCTCCCAGTTTCCCTTTCGGGCCTCCTGGGCCGGTGGCAACAGCCAGCCTGGGGGAGCCGGTAGAGGCAGCCTTCCAGGCTCCCACGTCGACTTTAATGAGGGGTGGGGGGCCCTGAGCCAGTTCTTGGATGACTTTGTCATAAGGACCCCCAGGCTCTGGCCACCGCGCACCCAGGCTGGGGACGTAGACTCCACTGCGAGGGATAAGCCCAGACCCTGGGCCCTGGGGACAAGCAGTCCCCACCTCTAGCAGCTTCATGTTGGCCAGAAGCTCCTCTTCAAGGCCAGGGGAGATGGCTTGCTCCTTATCCCTGCCCGAGGTCGGGGGAGCGCGCCTCCTCTCCCGGCCCCGGGGCTCTCCCGCTTCTGCTGTCACCCAGATGTCCAGCTTCTGGTCCCCTTGCCTCCCTTCTGCACAGCAGTCCCCGTGTCTGGACCCAGCCAAGGCTCCAGTGACCGCCCTTAGTCGGGTGGAGCATCTCCCCGAGTCTGCCGTGGGACCTCTGCCTGCAGCACCTGGGAAGCTTCTTCCTGGAGTGGGAGGCCGGGCGGGGGGCTTGGTGGGCCCTTGGCCAGGGGACGGAGAGCGGACAGATGCGGCCTCCCTGAGCTGGGCGGAGGCACCCTTAGCCTCACCCCGGGGTGGCTGCCTGGGGCTCGTGGGCGTGGCCGAACTGGAGTAACGAGGTAGGGGAGATGGTCCTCTCGCTGGGGTCCCTGTGGCAGTGGCCTCAGGGGCTCGAAGTTGCTGCGGGGTGGGGGTCCTGGAAGGCATTCCCCAGCTGTCTGTCTCCTCATGAGCCCAAGGTGTAGGAGTCCTTCTCTTGGGGACTTCAGACGGGTATCTGTCCTCCCTCTTCCCCAAAAAGCTGCCTTGGGGGTCTTGGCCCCTCGGGGCAGGTGAGGATTGGGGGCTGGGTAGGCTGTCCCCAGCTGACAGCTGCCTCCCAGGTGGAGCAAGTGGCTTCTCCTGGCACCTGAAAGGGAGAATCATCGGGTGGTGGCAGGGTCATCTACTCCAGTCCCCTGGCTCTGGGAAGAGAGGGCCTTTCCCAGCCAGAGCTCCAAGGGGGCTGGACTTCGGGAAGGAAAGTTCCTTATGGCAGGTACTGTTTAACTTTAAGTTCCGTCTTGCCCTGTGGAGCAGATAGAAAGCAGCCTGGCCAAGACCCTAGGTTACTTCAAAGCCAGAAACCACAGGCCACCAGTCTTGGGTGCCAGGGGCGTCTCAGTGTCTGCTCTACCGTGGAATGGCAGGAAGGCCTTGGGTAAGCCTGTTCCCCGTATGGGCCTCAGCTTCCTCACCTGTGAAATGGGTGGGCACGTGAAGTAACGATATGGTTCCAATGGTACTACGTGCGTTTTTTGTTCTGAGCACCTGAGGTCTAGCTGGGATAGGGGCACTGCTGAGAGACCTGTTCCCTTTATCTTGGGGCAGGGTGGCCTCTGAGAGTGTGGACCCCACAGGAGAAGGAGGCCCTGCCCTATCCCTCCCTCCCCTGTACCTCAGGAATGGTGCAGTCTCTCTGCGGGGTGTGGGGGAGGGGGCAGGGGGCCTCAGCCTTCGGCTCGAAGAGGTATACGTCTTCCAGTCCACCGGCGGCGGTGGGCTCTGGGAGCGGCTGACGGTCATCGTCAGCTGTGGCTGCGAGGGCTCATGCTGAACCCTCACTTCATGCTGCACCGGTGCCACCGGGGGCCTCAGGAAGCTGCCTGGCTTGTGTGCTACCAACACAGCCCCCAGAGAGGACAGAGAGGAAAGGAGGACAGGATTAAATTCCTGCTGCTGCCACCTCTCCCACAGCTGTTCCTCACTGCACATCCCACACGGGGGACAGTGAGGCCCTGCGGGCATTTCCTTACAGGGGGTTAGGGGATGAAATCTGAAGCTGTGTTTGTACTACGGGCCCGCACATTTTACTTAGGTTGTATGCTTATTTGGGGGCTGGAGATGCTGGTGGAGATTATTGGAAAACAAGACCCCTTCTGGTCATGCTTGGTGCCACCGCTGCGGACGTCAGAGCCAGACCGAAGCCCAGCCAAGATGCACCCTGACCAAACGCTGATTCGCTGGGTGCTTGGCGCCATCGTGCGGTTCTACTTGGTATTGCACCATGCCTGGTCGGCTGAGGAGCACCACACCTGTGCCTTCTATAGCATCTTCCTGTCTCCACCCCGCTCCCGCCCCCCTTCACCCCCCCCCCCCCCCCCCCCCCGCCACACGCCTCTTGCAGCTGAAGGCCAAACCTACCTCCCGCTTTCGGCCTCCCGACCCAGAGCACAGGGAGGGGACTCTCAAGGGACTCACACAAGGATGTACACCGGCAAGGGTCGTGTTTGTCCAGATAATGGCTGAGCGTGTCCCAGCCGCCGCCGACACGCACCATCACGTGGTTCCGGAGCACCTGCAGGGAGCAAGGGTGAGATTCAGGGCCAAGTGGAGAGTTGCCCCTCTGTCCAGACCAGCCTGCCATCTTCCAGCACACACCCCCATCCATGTACGTAAGCACTGCAAACACTCCCACACGTGTGTGGCACACGTGTGTGGCGGGAAGTGTTTGAGTCTCCTCCGTGATGGGCATCAGATAACACACGTGGTCCAGGGTGAAGGAAGGATGCCAAGGAGAAGGTTGACCCCCAACAGGACAAGAGACCTCACAAGCAGTTGTAGTCTGGTCCTTTCTCTCCCTGCACGGAAGGGTTTCCCCTGCACATGCTTGTATAGAAATGGGGCCCTGGCTTTGCCTGTCGCATGTGTGTCAAAGAATCCGGGGGAATCTCAGCCCCACCCCACTCCGGGTCACATAGTCTCTCCCGGCTTCCGTTTCCGCAGTAAGAGCCAGGCCACCGTTCCCGGTCCCAGCCTCCTTCTCGGGGCTACTAGCTCAGGGTCTGGGCGAGGGCTTCCGGAGCTGGCTCTGCCCCACCCCGGGTGGCCTGTACCCGACTCAGGTGGCTTGGCCCTGCCCCTGAGCGGCGGGCCACGCCTCTGGGCACAGGCTGTCTCTGCGGAGGAACATTTCGGAGGAACATGCCGGTCTGAGGCAGGCGCGGGGGAGGCGGTGGGAGGCACATTTCAGGTCACACTGCCGCTCACTCTGCCGAATGTACCAAGTCAGGCCCCAGAGGGGTGGACGGTGAGGTCCGTGTGGCTGGGTCCTGCCCTGAACACGAACTTGGGGTTCTCAGGCTCCTTGCTCTGACTAAGCCTGTGGCTGGATTGGAGCTGAGGGAAATAAGGAGTACCCTTCACACCCCACTTCTGCCTGGAGACCGCTGAGAATTAGGCTGAGTTGGAGGCGGGGGGCGGGGGGGGGGGGGCGGGGGGGCGGGTTATTCTGGCCGCCCTAATGGGAGCAGGGGATGGGCTTGTCAACTTTGTGAGGAATCTTCTGGAATTTTTCCAGGAAGACAAAGCAAGCCCCAAGGGGTGAATGGTGACTTCCTGTCCTTGCCCTCAGGCCTGGGCAGGGTCCCAAGGAAGGAAACCCTCGTCTGCTGACCCCGGGGGCCCTTCCACCTCAGTCCCCGCACTTACCCGGATAAAAATGAGGGTGTTGGAGTCCCCCACGCGGTACTTCCCCTCAGACACCTTGACCATGGAGAACTGAACGGGGCACGTGCAGCGGCTCACGAGGTTCTGAACCTGCAGACAGTGAGCGCGGGCTCAGCTCCCCCTCTGCACACGTGCCAAGCCCCCCACCACGCATGGTAAGTCAAGTCCAGTTCCAGTTGGTGGGATGTTTCCCTCCAGCCCAAGGCGTCTGGAGGGAAACATCTATCAGCTGCCTCCCGCACATGCCCTGGACTAGGGACCAAACCGCAGCCCAGGCATGTGCCCCGGCCAGGGATCGAACCCGCGACCTTTCGGTGCCCAGGACGATGCTCCAGCCAACCGAGCCACTCCAGCCAGGGCCAAGTAGGGAAGCATTTTAACGACCCAGTGAGAAAAGACCTTGAGTGGTGACCTATGGCGCAGCGCCCCGGGGTCAGCTGATGGAGGCCACAGAGTGTGACGGTGAAGAAGGTGGGCCTTGGAATCCGACAGGCTCAGGTCCGGCCTCCAGTGTCATAGACCTTGGGCAAGTGGAGCACCTGCCTGCCAGCTGTGGGGGGTGGGATGGGGTTCATCCCAGTGCGAGCTCAGTGCCATGACACAGCCCCTTCGCCAGACTCTGTCCTGAACCCTTCATGCGCCCTCGAATATCTAATGCCCCTGTCAGTCAGAGAAGCTCGGTACTGTCACTGTCCCCAAGCTACAGAAGGGGAACCGAGGCTCAGGGAGGAGAAATAAGTTGCCCACAGTCCCGGGGGGAGTAGTGGGGCTCAGACTCGACCCCGGGTGTCAGAGCGGGGCCAGGGGCCATGTGCTTAAAACGGTCTCACCCGGGGCTAAATGCGGGAGGTGTAGAATCTGGATTTGTAATAAAAACGTCCTAAGTGGCTTAGTACTAGTATATGTGACTAGGATTGAGGTGCAGAGCGAGACAGGACTTAGAGCCACCCAGTGGATTAGTGTCGGGGTGGGGACTGGAGGTCAAGAACGGGGTGGCCCAGCTGGGGCAGGAGTGGGAGGCCGAGGAGGGCGGGGCCCGGGGAGGCGGGGCCTTGCAGGCGTGTCCCAGTCGCTCACCATCTGGTCCAGGTTTCGGAAGTGGCAGGGCCGCCGCCTGGGGGGCACGGGTGGCGGGGAGTCGGGCGGGGGCAGCGCCAGCTCCTGCCGCAGCTCCTCATCAATCTCATCCTCCAGATGCACCAGGGTGGGCGCCGCGACCCCGAAGCGCCAGGCCCGGCGGCCCAGCTCCAGCAGGCACAGCACCACATTCTTCACGTTCTTGCGCAGCACCAGGTCCTCCGTCTCGAACATCAGCACCTCTGGCAGGGGGCAAGGGGGCACAGGGAGGGGTCGGCAGCCTGAAGCCCCGGCTGACCCTCCCGGAGCCCAGCACAGGGGAGACCCCTGGGGCCGTCCGTCCCTGGGCAGGCCGGGGGGGGGGGGGGGGGGGGAGGTGCGGGGGGCAGAGCTGGGAGCTGGCAGGCACCACAGGAAGCCTGGCTCTGAGGGTCCTGCGCCCAGCCAGCCACTACAGAGAGGGGTCTGGGCAGCATCGCTCAGGCACTGAGTGTAGACAAGGTGGCCCATGTGACAGGAGAGGTCAGAGATGGGGAGAGGTGACACCGCCAAGCAAAGGAACCTGGGGCCTGGCTGTGAGACAGGGCGCGGGAGGGCTCATTCCAGCTTCCCTGCACTCAGTTGCCAGGATGGCTTCCGGGAGCAAGAAGCAGTTTGTTCGGCTTCCGCCCCTCACCCCGCCGCCGGCCCCCCGCCCCCTCATCCAGCAGCATCTCCTACCCAACCCCCAGCCCACCCCCAGCCAGGCGGGGCTGAGCACGGGCACCCCTGACACTCCCACCCACTAGCTGCGTGACCTTGGGCTAGTCCCTGAGCCTCCGCCTTCCCTTCTGTGAAGTGGGGATACAGCCTGATTCGTGGGACTGCTGTGAGGATGGCGGTTAGGGTTCGCGGCCAAAGTCCAGCACATAGTACGTGCTCAATGAAACCCTCGCTTTGCTCGCCTTTCCAGTTCTGCCCCCGCTGCCTGGCTACCCACCCAACCCCCCCGCCCCGCCACCCACCCCCGCCTCACACCTGCAGCCTTTGGCCTGGAGGATGCCACACTGTCTAGCTCCATCCCGCCGCTGGGTCCAAGGCCAAGGAGATGCAGGATCCCAACATGTCACTCTCCTGAGTCTCACAGGCCCCAGCGCGGCGGGCCCCTCCCTAACACCCAGTGCTTCGCCTCCTGCTCTCTCCCCCGCTCGCCTCGCCCTGTGCCCTCACCCACCGCAGCTTCCCCCAGTCACCAAACGCCTTTGCCCCTGCTGTTCCCCTGCTTAGAATTCCCTTTCCCCAAACTTCTCTTTATGGCTCAGCGCTCAGTTCAAACCTCCTTCCCCTGCGTGGCCGCCCTCTGCCCCCTCATTCTACCCCCTCGGGAAGCGGGTTTCTCCGCTGGCCCGGGCACACACACCTCCGCTCTGAGCTTTTATCACACCGGCTGGAATCCGTGTGTCTGCTCCCTCACGCGCCTCCCCTCCTAGACCCTGAGCTCCTGGGACACTGGGTGTCAGCGCCCTGTCCTCAGTGCCCAGTTGGGTGCTTTACGCAAACGAGAGAGGTACGCGATACGTGTCTGTTGAATGAATGAATCATTCAATGAACACATTTCTTGATTATGGATTTACTATGTGATGGGAAGGCGAAGAATGAGAAGGCGTGAGCTGGCCCAAGGCAAGCCTGGGAGGAGGACCCTGGCTCTAGCCCTCAGGGCACCCTGGGCCGCAGAGAGGCGGTGGACGCCCAGCAAGGTGGGGGTTCGCGCGGGGGGAGGTCCTGGCGGGTACCTTGGATGCCCATCTCCTTGCGACACCACTGGATGAAGTTGGAGACGTTGTCCCGGGCCTGGAAGGTGCCTGGCTGGGCAGCCCCGTTGCAAGAGACCCCGGCCCGAGGCACGGGGATCCTGTGGGCTCGGGCGGGCGCCTCAGCTAGGAAGGCCAGTGCGGCCGCGGTGACGGCGTTGGCATGCCGGCACAGCACCAAGCCCGTCTCCAGCACCTGCAGGAAGTTGGCTGCGTCGATGTCCAGCCCGTAGAGATCCCGAAGCCACTCTGCCAGGTCCTCCTTCATGGCTTCCAGGTACTGCTCACTGGACTTGAAGGGCCGGATGCTGCACACAGGAGGCCCCGGAGTTCCCGGCCTCCTCCCACGTCCCCCAGGCTGGGACATGGCTTGACCCTCGGCAGGGGAGAGGGCCGGCACCTCTTCTGTCCTGCTGCTTTGTCTCCACTCCTGCCACCTGCTACGTCTTGGCTGGTTCTCCCTGACTCCCTGTTCCCTAGGAGAGAGCCTTGGATTTCATGCTCGGCCACTTGCCACTGGCTTCAGCCGCCTCCACCGGGCAGGCCAAGTCCCTGCCCTACCCCCCTCCTCGGCATTTCTCAGTCTCTGCCAGAACTTTCCCTACTTGGAGGCCCACAGCGACCTCGGACCCTTCGCCACCTGCCAGGACGGATGGAAGTGAGGACGCTCCTATCTCCCCCTGGGCTGCACAGGTTGCTCTGGCTGCCTCCCACCACGGACAGCCAGCCAGCTGGTGGCAGTGGAGCCTCTCCGCTCTGCCTTCGTCTCCTCTCCTTGGAGACCTGCGGCTGCTACAAACACTCCTGTTAACCCTTCCCGGCAGGCAGGCAGGGCCAGCCCTGCAGAGCTGCCTGGAGCCAGGAGGGCAGGTAGAGGGGAGCGGGGGTGGGAGGGGGGCGCCTCTGGGGAGTGGGGGCAGGGAAAGCAGGGCTGGGGAGCTTGGCCCATGGTGTTTAGTGAGCACTGTAGGGCGGGGAGAATCTAGACACAGCGACAGAGGCTAAAGACAGGAGTTTAGCCCTGGACCCTTTGCTGACATTCATAGGCTACCTAGCCTTTTTGTGCCTTAGTTTTCTCAGCTGTAAAATGGGAATAATATTCTCTAACTCTCTGGGGTGTTGTGAGTGTGAGGAATAAAGGTATAAGGTGTGTGACCCTGACTGGTGTGGCTCAGTGGGTCAGACATTGTCCCGCAAACCAAAAGGTCGCCGGTTCGATTCCCGGTCAGGGCATGTGCCTAGGTTGCCGGCCAGGCCCCCCATGGAAGGCATGCGAAAGGCAACTGATCAATGTTTCTCCCCCTCTTTCTCCCTCCCGACCCCTCTCTCTAAAAATAGATAAATAAATACAAGGTATAATGTATGTGGAAAGTGTTGGGCTGTGAGGACACACACGCTCAGGACTCGGCGGGTCCCGGCTCAGCGATTCTCCCAGCATGCCTGTCCGTGCGCCACGGTCCCCACTCCCTCTGGAGAACCTGCACGTCCCTGACTCTAACCACACGACTCCTCTGGAGTAGGCTGTCGACCGCAGTGCCTTACCCCTGGGCCACAGCAAGGCATTCACTCAACAGATATGTCTTGAGTACCTTCTGTGTGCCAGGCACTATGACACATCTAAACACAGAGCACTAAACGAGGCCCCTGACCTCATGGGCGCCGCTTACATATTAGTGGGTGCTGGATAATGGATAACGAACAAGTAAATCTGTAGGAAGCCAGACGGTGATAAATACCAGGGAGCAAAGTAAAGGGCACAGGAAGACAGGTGTGTGCATTGACTTTTCTATAAGATGCTCAGGCAAGTCCTCACTGATGTCAGGACACTGAACGGAGGCCTGGAGACATCATGGGGCAGGACCTGCGGGTGTCAAGGGAAGGGCATTCGGGCAGAGGGAATGGCTGGTGCAAAGCTCAGCAGGAGCCTGCTTGGCCGGTTCCAGGAAGAGCAAAGAGAGGGGGATATGAGGCAGAGAGGAAATGGGGTCTCAGGTTATGCAGGCCTTGTCTTTCTCTTTTAGAAGAGAAGGTTCCTAAAAAAAAAAAAAAAAAGATGGTTCAAGATCTTTCATAAAAGTTTTTAAAAACATGTTTATTGATTTTAGAGAGAGACACACACGCATCAGTATGAGAGAGAAACATCCATCGGTTGCCTCCCATACACACCCCACCTGGGAATTGAACCCGCAACCTAGGTGTGTGCTCTGACTGGGAATGAAACCCCCAACCTCCTGGTATACGCGATGACACTCCAACCAGCTGAGCCACACTGGCCAGGACTCAGTTTCTTTCTTAAGGCATCAAGACGTGATTGTCGTACCCATGTTAGAGGTGAGGAAACAAGGATACGGGAGTGGGCGGGAGGCCTTAGGTCCTCCCTCGTATGATCCTCTCCTCAGGGTTGGCCGAGTGTCCTCCCAACATGGCAGCTAGATCTCCCCTGAGCTAAGGCATGGATCCAGAAGTGGGGGAAGTGGGGAGCAGAGTGGAGGAAGGACAGGGATAGAACAGAGGGTAGAGGAGAGAAAACAACGACACCATTAAACAACGTTTTAAGTGGCTTCTGGGGGCCAGGTACTGTGTTACCATCCCGCCACGTCTGACTGACAGACGGAGAGCCTGAGGGTCAGGAGGGAAACATGCTGAAGGTCAGGCACCTTTTATATTTACATGCTAGAGCTGGGATTTGAACCCTGTCTATTGGGGGCCAAAGCCACCCTCTATTCTCTTTGAATGCCTTTCACGAGGGAAGGAAGGGCACATCTGGATTCTGGGTGCTTTGGGAGGCTCTAGAAAAGGCAGCTATTCCTGAATGGAACCCCAGGGGCAAGTGGGGTTCTAGCCCCGCCCCTTGTGAGCTGACAGAGGCCCTGGAGGACAGAGGCCCTGGAGAGTAGACCAAGTTCTATGGGTTCTGGCTGCTCCCTCTCGTCCAAAGCTCTGGTCACAGGAAGCGGGCAGCACAGCCTCGGGCAGGATGGATAAGCATGGTGAGCGGGGTGGAGGCGGGGCGGGGTGGGGCCGACGGCAGAGGCCTCCCGACTGCAGGCGGACCCCCCGGTGCCTCAGCAGAGTCAAAGTCAGCCTTCTGTCAGTTACACCCATCCATGAACAAATCCTCTCCTTTCTCTTTTCTGAATATCCTTGATGCTTGCACCCTCTTCTTAACCCCCTGCCGTTCAGACTCCTGTCTCCCCTGGCCTGGACCACTGCTATGACTCCCACGTGGGTCTCTCTGTCGCAGGGGGAGCCTCCTAAAACACAGCTCCGAGCCGCCCCTGCGTCACAATGCTCAGTGGCTTCCCACTGCTGAAGGGCCAGCCGGCCTCTGGTGTTGCGCGGGCGCTGTGGGATGGGGACCAAATGGACACAGCGGTGGAGTCCGAACAGTGAGCTTAGCTCTGGGCCCTTTGCTCAGTCCTCCTGTGAACTTCACACGCCGCTAAAGTCCACACTCCACAGCGCGGCACCCGGAGTACCAACTTTTCCTTCCAATTCCCCCTTCTCCCGAAAAGCGCGCTGTGCCCCTTTCTGGTTGTGCACTGGGTCTGGCCTTTCACAACCAGAAGGCTCCTTAATGTATTTTTCCAAGTAAAGGTATAGTGGACGCTGGTTCCCCAACTTGAGCGACACCAAGAACTGGCAGACTCTTTGGAGTCACTTTTCCTGAAAGGTTTCCAAAAGTCCTGGAGGAGATTCAGAGGCCCCTCCATGACCTACCTTGTCATCCACCTGTGAGCGTTGTGAAGGCTGGAGGGACACGATGCATGAAGGAGTTTAGGGTGGTGGCTGCATGTTGCCAGGCGTGATGCACACCCATGTTTTTGTGCACACTATACACGGGATTATTATACCCATGGCGTATAACAATTATACCCATGTATAATGCGCACCCTTATATTTCCCTCAAAAATTTGGGCAAAAACTGTGCAGTATACACTGCCAGATATGGTAGTTGGTGCTTAATACCTGTGGGCTAGAACACTAATTTTATTATCATTCCCCTTTGTCTCCAAGTCTTTAGGTTCGGCAGGGATCAATTCTTCTTGATCTTTTTCGGGCAAACCCCAGGGGCTGTGCTTTCTCTGCCCTCCCCCCTCATTATGAGGCTAGCCCCCCAGGTCCAGCAGAGGGCCAGTGTTTGCCCGCAAGGCGGGCACCTCCCAGTGAGGCAGCTTACTTTCCACGTTAGTCCAGGAGCACCCTGCCGGCAGGGCCACTGCTTGGTCATAGAGTTTGTGCCCTGAACTAAAACATCAGCTAGAGGGGTCAGTGGTGGCCAAAATCTGCCTGGCGATTGGGGTCAAGCCTGGAAAAATGAAGAGACATGTTTTCCTAATTGGTCTGCCCACAGGGAACACATTTTTGATTGTCCTGCCAATGGGAGGCGCCTTTTTCTAATCACAGGGAGGCCTTTGTGCCCACCTGTCCGCCCAACCCACCGCAGGTGATGCTGGGCTTCCTAAAGGCAAGACCCACTTTGAAGAAGGAAGTCCCATCTAGAAAACAAAATATAAACAACCACGTATTAGAATTCCAACCAGTGCACTGAATGTTTATTGACAACCTACAGGCAATCAGTTCCCACTGGAGAGCCCATCAGAAGGAAGGTGACGAGCCATCTTTGTTCAGGTTCGCTCCTTGCTCTCTCCTGCTGATTGCTTCCCGCTGGCCCAGCCCAGGGCTGGGCACTTACCCACAGCGATCTCACACCTACCTCACAACTACACTCGAGACAGGCATTACTTTTCCCACTTGACAGGAGCATCGTGACTTGTCTTAATCTTAGGACGCACAGAAACCTGGGATATCGGGGCAGGCAGGCAGCCAGGCAGGCCTTTTCTGGCCCGGGAAATCCTGGGCACCGTAACTCTTTTGGAGTCCTGCTGGCTCGTACGCACTATCCTGCAGGTGCCTGACTTTGGGGGCATAGGGGACCTGGAGTTGGGTTGTGGGCAACAGTCAGGGTACCCAGGGACAGTGAGCCTGCACTGACCTCTCCGCCCGCCCGCAGGCCTGAAGACCCCCTTGTGGAAGAAGGAACTGGAGGAGAACAGGGTCAGGGAGGAGGAGGCTGCGGAGGAGAGATCGGAGGAGGAAGACGAGGGGAGGCCGTCTCAGGAGGACGCGGCCGAGGGCGAGGCCGAGCGCCGGGAGGCGGAGGGCCGCGAGGGCGGCGAACAGGGCTCGGTGTCCTACTGCCCGCTGCGCCAGGAGTCCAGCACCCAGCAGGTGGCGCTGCTGCGGCGCGCGGACCTCGGCCTCTGGGGCTGGCTCCTCCCCTTGGCGCTGCTGGGCGGCCTGTCGGCCCCCGCAGACAGGTGAGGGAGCGCGCGCCCCGCCACCTCGCAGGGCCGCCGGGGACCGCGCGGTGCCCTGAACGTCGGGGTCCGCGTCCGCAGGAATCGAAGCCTCCCGGAGGAGCCGTGCGTGCTGCACACAAGGCGTCGGCCACCTCGTGGCAGGGGGTGTGCACGCTGCGAGATCCTTTTTTGCAAGAAATGCGGAAACCTGCACAGCAACCCGGCCTACATAGCGCACTGCCTTCTGGAGCACTCGGATCTGGGTAAGGCGCGGGTTTCGGGCGAGGCGGGGGCCGCCGGAGGCGCCAGAGCGCCCCCGCTCAAAGCTTTTGTGCCCTCCACTCCCGCAAACCCAGAACTCCCCAAAACTTTCTTCTGTCCACTGACGCCGAGCGCCCTCCTGCACATCCCAGCACTGCCCGTTCTAGAGCTGCTCTCTGGGAGCGCCCCCAGGCCACCTTGGGCAAGCAGACCCACCGTCTATGTAGCCAACGGTGGAACCCTCCGTCACCTGGAGTTCCATTCCTCCGTAGAGCTCCTGGGGGCTCCTGTCCCCTGGCGGCACCCAGTGCCTCCTGCGCGCCTGACTCGCGTCCCCTGACACAGCCTCACACTCCTCTCTGGTATTTCAGGTCCTTCTGGCCGGCTGGGCAGAAGCAAGTCTAGAGAAAATAACCTCCGGGTTCCCTCACCCCTCCGAGAAACCGAGAAACCGGCTTCTTCCCCTCAAATCATTCAATAAAGCTGTAAGCAAAGTGTCAGTGCCTTGACGTGGGGGCCAGGCGGCTCCGGAGAGTGGGGAAGTTGCCCCTCCTTGCCCTCTGCAGAACAGGGCACGCGGACAGCCCTCCCCCCCCGCCCCCCCCAGGTCAGGGCGGCACAAAGCACTTGCATCCAAGGGCAGTCAAAGGCCATTCTCCCCACTGCACAGAAAAATAAAATAAAAAATAAAAAACGAAGGCACAGGGCCAGGAATGCCCGTGGGGAGCTGAGGGCGGAACCTTGCCAAGCCATTCTTGCGGCCCCCTGGAAGCCCGGGTCTGGCAGAGGTCAGTGTGCGTGCAAATGCAAATGAGGCAGGTGTGGAGGGCGGAAGGCCTGAGACCCTGACGCTAGAGCGCCTGCTGAGGCACAGGGCAGGGCGGCGGGGGCTCTGGTTCCGTCTCTAGAAATCCAGCTGTTCTTGGCCAGCCAGCAGGAGCTCCTGGGGTGTGGCGTGTGTGTGGCCTGGAGAATGGGGCACTGGGAACGGAGGCCTCCCACGCCTGCAGCGCCCCCAGCAGTCCAGACCCCCCCAAGAGAGGCTCCGGTCCTCTCCCTGCCACACGCGGTTCTCCATCTGGCCTGCGGGGGGCGGGGGGCAAGGACATTTAGCTTTCTGAAGAGAGGCAGGCCCCCTCTCCCTATCACAACCATCCCCCCTACACACACACACACACACACACACACGCGCGCGCGGCAGGTCCTTGCGTGGTCGGAAGGCCATGGTCTCTGCCTCTCCAGCATCCATGGCCACCTGCTCTCACTGGAAACTCTTCCAGGGAAGGCTGGTTGGTGCCTCCAGGCCCGCCAGCTGGAGACACCTCTTTAGGCCAGGCTCCTGCAAAACAGCAGGGCCGGCAGGACTGCAGCGGCCTCCCTCTTGCTCGGGGTCCTCATCCCTCAGGGCCTCGGAGGTTGGAAACCCTCGTGCCCAACCCATCCAGGCTTCCTGGGGGGCGGGGCCTCTGAATAAACATAATACAGTTGTCCAAAAATTGAGTCAGAAGGCCCTGAAGGGAAGATGACAGTCTCGCAAGGTGGCCCCAACCTTTCTGTTGAGATTTGCATCCTCCCTCGTTGCCCAGTGCTGCTGCCTCATAGACAGGAGCTGCATCCCTAGCAGAAAAAAATAAAATAAAATCCCCAAGGCCTGGGGAGGAAAGAGTCCTTGGGGAAAAGGCTGTGGAGTCTTCGACCCTTTTTGGCTTCTCCTTGGATTGATCCCAGTGCCATCTCCATGTGGTGGGGACAGCACAATGGCACATTCTCCTGGGAACAAACGCAAACTCCTCTGCTGGGTCTTCTGCAGGGAGGCTCAGAGGCTTCCAAAGCAGGCTCTGCCCCTTGAGCAGGGCACACACGTTGGCCGTGAGAGCACCAGCAGTTCACTGAGAGGTGGGCGTGACTTCAGAACAGGGCGCCACCGGAGTTGACGTGCCAGCAGCCCATCCAGGGCAGCTCTGCCGCCCAGCGGCCTGAGGAGGTCACCCGTAGTTTGTTCTGGTCCAGGTGCCAGTAGCGGTCGTCTCTGAAGAAGATGACGGAGCCGTCCGGCTGGGGCAGGGCACCGCTGACCTCTTCGGGGACACCACCCCAGTCCTGCAGGCCTCGGGGGTAGTAGGGCTCCACCTGCAGACCGTCTCGGGCCAGCACATAGTAGCGGGCGCCCTTGAAGAGGACAAGACGGCGCAGAGCAGGAAAGAAGAGGGCGGCATCGGGGTGCCGTGGCAGGCCCCCTGCCCGGCACGGCTGTGGAGAGCCCCACACTGGCTTGGAGCCCTGAAACCTCCAGCATCGACTCCCTGTGGGGCATTGGGAGAGCTAGGGTGAGCCGGCAGCTCCCGCCCTTTGGTCCTCCGCCCCAGCTCTGTCCCCCCCATACCCCGGCTCCCTCTTGTGTTGGAACTCAAGGTGGTTCATATTTGAGATAAAATGGAACGTGCTAATATTTAGTTATAAAGAGCAGGGAACTGTTGTGGCCTGGACTTCCAGCAGGTGTCAGCAGAGGGCAGGCAGAGCTAAAAGAACATCTATATACCCCTGCTCTGCGTAGCAGGGTCCCGTCCCGGGGTGAGGACTGGCCTCCAGGGAAGGCCACAGGCTTCTTTCACTGCCATTACCACCAATAGTTCTAGGACGGCAGGGAGTTTTGCTTAGTTCACTAATGTAGCCCAGCACAGTGCCTGTTGAATGAGTGAATGAATGAATGGACACTATTTACGGAAGTAACTGACTGCACTCTGCTCAGGCATTATGTTCATCCTTCTTCCCCAACAAACCTGACGGATTGGTTTCCCCATCCAAGAAATTGAAGCTCCGAGAGTTAAGCGACATGCCCAACCTCACGCAGCCAGGATTCCAAGAAAGGTATGACTTTCTGGTGAATTGCACAACTCAGGGGTAGTCCTTGGCTTCATTCTAGAGTCTTCTCTGGAACCCTTCCACCCTCTCTCTCTAGGGTAACCTTGATACCGCCTCTTCAATCCGCTGCTAAAGGAACCTCTTGGTAGTTTCCCAAGCCACAGGTTCGGGTTGGAATTGAAATGCCTCCCCCCATTTGACCTTGGGCATCACACCTTTCCTTTTTCCGGTCTCCGTTTCCTCATCTGCCCCAGGGTTGGTACCTTTGAAGAAGTAGAAGTCTCCGTTCTCCAACGACACTGCAGCAGCCTCAATGTTGGGGGGCAGCCCAGCCCACCTTTCCTGCAGTGGGCGGGGCTCTGAGGCATTGCCATCAGCTGCCACCTCCCAGAAGTGGCTCCCTTGAAAAATGTACAGTCGCTGTTGCCCGTCTGCCCAGAGAGATGAGAGAGAGTAGAGCAGTGACCATCAGCCTCCTGCCTTCCTTCCAGGGAGGGCACATTCCTAGAACCCAGCTTCCGAAACTGACTGGAGAGGCAGCAGCGAGCCCGGCTGGGGCAGAAGGGAAGGTGTGCAGGAGAAAGCAGGGTTTTGCCTGGTGTGGGCTTGCTCCCGTGCTTTTGGCTTGGGATTTCTGGATTTTATCATTTATACCCTCCCCCACCTTGAACTCCTGCCCTGGAGACCCCTGGAGATGTGTGGGGACAAGGGAAGAGGTGAGTAAATCGTGGGTGATCCACTTACCTACAGTAATGGCATCGAAGGAAGAGTGGCAATATTTAGGAACCTGGGTTCCAGGGCGCCTTCCCTGGGGTCTGTGGGGGTCCCAGGCCTCAAAGTCAGTGAACAGCTTCCCTGGGAGCTGGACCGTGACAGAGCCCCCCTGGGGCTTCCCTGCATGGGTAAGGAGAACAGGGAAGGAATGCACGGTGTTGGGGGGGGCATGTACTGAGGGCTCAGGGAACCCTCCCCCGTGGTCCCTTCCACCCTTCTCTGCCCTGAGGGGCAGGGGAGGAGAGCAGGGTAGGGGCTCTGAACTGCCTTTGTTGTTTCTTTCAGCCCGAGCACTGAATTCAGAAGCCTTCTCGCCTGTCAGCCTGGGAAAGAGGCGCCAGGTGAGATACAGCTGAAGCGGGGCTAGCAGGCTTTGGAACCAAGAAGTGCCAAGAGCCCTGGACAAGGCAGTGGCGTGAAGGCAGGGCTCAGCGGCGCCAGCTGTGTTAATCACAAGCACTTGAAATAATCACATCGCCACACTTAGAAGAATGAGGCAGAGTCCAAAATTTGGCATCAGCTCCCGGATCCTGGTCTGCAACTTCCTAGCTGTGTGACCTCAGACAGTCACCTAATCTCTCGTTCCCCCCTTTTCCTCATCTGTGAACAAAAAGACGCTTATGGCTGTGTTGTATGTTAAGTGCCTGGCCCGTGGTAGACACTCATGAAATACCTGTATTTTGCCATGTATAATGCGCACCTTTTGTCCAAATTTTTGAGGGAAAAATAACGATGTGCATGATACATAGGTAGTACTAATTTTGTGTCTATATAAATGTCTTAAATTTATTTATGCTTATGCGTTAAAGTGTGGCCCTACAAAACAATAACGATATTCATATGCAAAATAATACCCTAGAATATGATAATCAGTTTTGTTTCAGATATAAATAAGTAATTGAATTTAAAAATTAAAATAAAAGATTTTCTTTTTTCCTGAGAGTTTGGGCCAAAAATGTGGGTGCGCATTACACACGGGAGCGCATTATACACAGCAAAAGATGGTAGCAGCTGTAGGTTTCTTAGGCCACAAGGCATGTGCATGCTCAGGGTAGTACAACAAGCTTGTGAGGTAAGCAGGGCCTCAATTATTATCCATTTTCTCAGAAGGTAAAATTTTCTCAGAGGGAAAATGCTTTGCCCAAAAGCAACTACTGATCAGGAATGGAAGAGACCTGAACCCAGGGTTCGGGGCCCTGCCGCACCAGCGCACTGGGAGGGAGACAGGCGCTGGTGCTGGGGTCCAGGCAGGTCCCTGGGCGGCGGTGCTGATCAGTTCAATATGGGACGGATCTTTCCGAGTCCGCCAGGCAGAGGCCCAAGCTTGGGGGGAGGTTGGGGACTAGACAGAAAGCACAGCGCGCAGCAGGAATGAGGGCCGGGGGTCTGGGGTGCGGGAAGGGGTGGGACTGAGGATTGGGTCGGGGTGGTGCAGCTGCGGACTCGAGGGGGGGGTGTGTGTCTGCGCGCGCGCGCGCGTGCGTGTGCAGGAATCAGGAATCGGAACGCAAGGACTGCGCACAGGAATTCGTTGGGATGGATAGGGGGCACCCACGGAGGGGGGGTGCAGGAGCACGAGGTAACTCTAAGTTGCTCAGATTTCAGGGGAGCCCGAGAATTGGGAAGGACCCGGGACGGAGGAGGCCAGATTCCTGAGCTCCCGACAGGGGATCCAATTGGAGGAGCCGGTACCCGAGCACGGCAAGCAAGGGTCGGGGGGTGGGGGTGGGAGGAGACGGAGGGGGCGGGGTGGGGTTGGCAGGAGACGGGGGCGGGGGGTGTTGGGGGGAGGCAGGGGTGGGACCCGCGGCGGGCACGACCAGGGGCTCACCGTACAGGCTCTGCACCGCCAGCACGTCGTCCCAGCTGAGCAGCGCGTCGCGGCCCAGCCTCTTGTAGTAGGGTGCCATGAGCGCGCGCGGCGCGGGCGAGTGGGTCAGGCCGAGCGTGTGGCCGATTTCGTGCGCCAGCACCACGAACAGGTTGCGCCCGCGGCGGCGGGTCAGGGACCAGTGCTCGTCTTGGTCGAAGTGAGCTTCGCCCCGACGGGGCAGAAAGGCGTGCGCCAGGGCGCCCCCTGCAGGCGACGCGGAGAGTCAGGGGAAGCCACCTCCCACTGCGTCCCCAAGCTCCCTTTCTCCCGCCGCAGATGCCCTTGGGAGGTGTGGGGCTGTTTCCTGCTGGATAATTTCCCTCCTAATTAAGTCTGGCAGAAGCTGAAATGTGGAGCAGTGAACACATGATGAGGCTGTGGGGTATGGACGCTAAGAGGCAGCGTGGTGTACATACAGCATGGGGTCAAAGTGCCTGGGTTCCAGTCCTGGTTTTACCATTTGCTAGCTGTGTGACCTTGGGCAAATGTCTTAACTCCTCTGTGCCTTATCTTTCTGATCTGAAAATAGGAGTGATGATAATAAGGTCCTTCCTCACAGGGTTTTTTCTCCCCCCTGAGGATTAAAAAGGGATGTGTGTATCTGTGTATGTTACATATACTCAGTATGTACCTAGCATATAATAAATGCTACATAGGAATTGATTTCTAAAAGACCTAGGAGCGGGCATAGTGGTTACCCCAGAATGGAGCACAACGGGACCATCTGGGGTGTTGGTAATGTTTGTTTCCTGACCTGGGCGCCAGGTGTGTTTATGCGTATGAGCAGTTTCTTTCATAAGAAAGTATACCTATTCTTGCGCTCTTGCCTTCCCTCTGTGGGTCTCTACCTCCCCACTGGTAATGGGAGTGAGCAGAGGGAGTCGGGCTGGGTCAGTGACCCCCAAGCGTGTAGGTGCCCCAGAAGCTCGTCAGCCATGCAGTTTTCAGGGCCCACGCTCACAGTTCACTCGCCGCAGGGGCACGGGGCCGCGAACTGCGCTGTGATGACGTCGGCCTGGAGGCCTGTTAAGGGTCCTTCCAGTGAGTGCTGCCTCCTTGGAACCCGGGCCAACAGGGACTGACAAAGGTCAGGACTAACATTGAAGGAGAGCCTCAAGGCCCCGGCCAGGTGGCTTAGTTTGTCCTGCACGCCAAAAGCTGTCGGTTCGATCCCTGGTCAGAGCACATACCTAGGATCCCCGGTTGGGGTGCTACTGGTGGATGTTTCTCTCTCTCTCTCTCTCTCTCTCTCTCTCTCTCTCTCTCTTCCCCACCCTCACTCTCTTCCTCTCTATAAAAATAAACAAAATACCCTCAGGTGAGGATATAAAAAAAAAGATAAAGGAGAGCCTCACGGGGCATGAGAACTGGCCATGTGTAGGAGGAAAACACGCCTCCTATTCTGAATGTGCTTTGAACTGTTTCAAGCAATGTTAGCTTCTCCATTCAGCTCTCGCAATCATCTGGAGGAACAGATGGGCAGGTTTTTTACTAACCTCAAAAAGACAAAGCATGCCCTGGCTGGTGGGGCTCAGTGGATTGAGTGCTGGCCTGAGAACCAAAAGGCTGCCAGTTCAATCCTGAGTCAGGGCACATGCCTGGGTTGCGGGCCAGGTCCCCAGTAGGGGGCACTTGAGAGGCAATCACACATTGATGTTTCTCTCCCTCTATTTTCCCCTCCCTTCCCTGCTCTCTCTCTGTTAAAAAAAATAAAAAGCACCTGCCTCACATCAAAGAACTGACTCCCAGTCCAGGGCAGCCTTAGCTACCAGACTCCACCTGGGGACGGAAAGAAACATCTCATGTAGCTATCACGGGGCGAAATGAGTTACATGCAAGCCCGTATGTGTCCTACATGTGGATTCTCAAAAAGCCTAGATTTCTCCCAGCCCTACCCTGGTCCCCACTTGGAAGTGGCTTTGCTCTGAGTCCAAGTGGGCTTGATGGAAAGCAGGTCAGTGCAGGGGAGTTGGGGCCCAAGTTCCCAGCCCAGACGAAGGGCGAAGGGCGAGTCCCCACCTAGAGCGGTCTGATCAGGTTTCCTGGCTCCTGAGCAGGGAGGCGTGGGAGGATGCATAGGTAACCTACATTCAGTGTCTGAAGGCCAGGCTGGGTGGGGCGGGGCGGGGCGGGGCGGGGGCGGGGTCAGCAGTTCAAATTGCAGCCCGGAGCCTGGAGCCTTCAGGTCGGAGGCAAACAGGGAGGCCGTGTGGGCCACGGGCACGCGAAGCGCCTCTGTGGCAGGGAGCCGGTAGGTGCCTCTCGCTCTGAGGCAGTGACTGTGACGGTGGGTTGAGGAGGGGCAGGGTGGGGTAGTGATGGCCTCGGGATGTTTTTAGGACCTTGGTCTGGAGAACGTCCAGTCCTGGAGAACATCCAGTCCTGGAGAACCAGAGAGGCACAGGCTTGCCTGCGTGATGGACCTCAGAAGATTCTCCCAGAATTGATGACACTCGTCTGAGTTTGCAAAACACTTTCCATGCAGAACCTCATCTGACCCAACAGCCATATGGCACATAGTAGGGCAGGGACCACTGTTTCCCATTTGATAGATGAGGAGACTGGGGTTCTTTGGAGGGGGATGCAGCTTGGCCAAGGCCACAGGGAGAGCACGCACCCCATCGCCCTCCATAGGCTAGTTGGGTCCCCTTCCTGCCACGTGGGAGAGAGGCTGTCAGCACCTGGGCCATCAAAAGCGTTGCTCAGCCCGTCGTTATGGTCCCCCTGGAAGAACGTGAGGCGGATGTCGGCAGGGCCTGTGGCTGGGGCCTCCCAGAACTCCAGCGCTGAGACGTTGCTCCACACCTGGAAGGCGGCGCGCACCGCCCCCCGGACTGCTGGTTCCGGCAGGTGCTGGGGCCAGTTCACCAGGCGGTAGGAGAGGTGCTGCTTGTACCACTTGTTGCCTGCCACCAAGAGAGGCCGTGTCAGAACCTGGGACTGGTCCCAGAACGCGGATAATAGGGAGATAGGCCCTCCCCCGGGGAGCCCCTGATCTGGTGCTGCTCTCAGACACTGCTCTCAGACAGATCGGGCTACCCTTGTCCTGCGGAGTCCCCAGTGTGCTGGGCTGGCCTACGGAAGTCCCACAGGACCTGGGCCAAGCCACATCCCCCTCCAAAGTATGATGAGGGAGATGCAGCCTCTGCCTAGGAAAAGCCCCCAACCTAAAGGACTCTCTGGTCTGGGCTCTTCCCCACAACCTGGGCTGAGCCTGAAAAGCCCTCTGCACCTCCCGCTGCAGCAAGCCCCAGCCCCTGTCCACGGGTCAGGGGGTCAGGGTCGGGGAGAGGTGGGGCCGCTGCCTGCCCCCCCTTCCTCCGCTCCATACCCTCACACCCTCCTGCTGCCTCCCTTCCTAGTGCCCGGGGCAGCGACCACAACACCCATTTATTCGAGGTCCTTCCCTGACCCCTCGCCTCCCCCTCACTTCCTCAGGGACTCTGGAGAGCTCTGAGGTGAAAACAAGAACAAAGGGTGTGTTTTGTCAGTGACCGAGAGAAATTTTTCCATCTCCACTTAGTTAAGTGTTTCTATTCCTTTGCCCAGAACGCAATCCCTCCCTGCGGCCTGAGGCGCAGGCCCCTTGCCCGAGCCCAGGTCCCGCTAGCCTGGGGCCAGCGCCGCTCGCCACACGCCCAGGCCGGGGCGCTTGGAAGGCCTATGCTCTGAGTTCTTCCTGGGCTATTTCTGAACCTGCAAGTTCAGGGACTGAGACTGTGACCCCAAGTGGGCCACTCACAGCTTGGAGGCAGGACTCCCGGGCTCAGGAACACATGAGAATCACGTTTTGGGAGCTCTGTTTCCCAAATGGACCAAATCCCTGGGGCCTGCGTGACAAGTGGGCAGGTCAGGCCCAAACCGGGCTAGGAGACCAGGCTAGTGGGCACAGCCCCCTATCCCCTGGGGGGGGCAGTTGAAGGTTCGAGCCTCCTGCCCCTTTGTCCTAATCCTTGTCTGAACCAGGCAAGAGGAGTGAAGTCGTGGAAATTCAGGCACTTCCTGTTCAACCTCTCCTCTATTTGGGGGATATGACACCAGGGAAGAAATGTCCCCAGGGTCACGGGCTGAGTGAGTAGGAGCCCAGGCCCTGCCACCTAATTCAGTGCATTTTCCACTACACCAGACAGATAGGCAAACATATTTGCTAAGACTCAAGGCTCGTACATTTGCCTAACCATGGCCCCTGGGGGTCAAAGCAGGGGCTCTGCAGAGAGCTAAACTCCTCTGGATGGAAGGGAGGGTCTCAGAGAACGAAGAGCTGGGCGCACCCTCCCCCTTCCCATCCCCCGTGGAGAAGGGGGGAGGGGAACGTCCCCTCGCTCACCCCTGAGCCAAGCTCCATTCAAGGCAATGCTGCCTCCCCGGGGCCTGTTTGGCCTGGCAGACACCCAACCCCTCGCAGCCACTGACGAGCCCTCAGGGAGGGGAGAGGGAAGGGTTCTAAGGGAGGAGAGGCCTGGCGGCCAGAGGCGCAGGACACTCCTAGCGCATTGCGAGCCCTCCCTGGGCACCGGACCAGCTGGGGCCGGGCTCTCTGGCGCCCCGCTATGGGTAAGCAGCTCCCAGCCTCCTCCTCCCCACCTCCAGCCTTCCAGCTTCTAGAAAACTAGGAGGCTGCTCCTTCAGCCTCTTTGCAGTTAGGGGTGCTCTTCACTCCAAGCGCAGGAAACAGGGAGGGTGGGCGATTCTCTCATGCGGGGTAGCCAGCAAAGGCGACAACCCACAGGATAAAAATCCTCTGTGAAACTGTGCATGTCGGGGGTAGAGGGTAGGGATAAGGAGGACAACTAGGAACAGGAATCGAGAGAAAACGACTGATTTTCCTTGGGGTGGGCAACAGGGTGGTGGGTTGTTGGTGTGCCTGCCAGGAAGGAAGGAGCCGGGCCGGCAGCCTGAGCCCTGTGCCCTCACTCCTTCTCGGTTTGGTCCCTGGAGCAGGCTGGCTGCCGCAGGCCCCATTCCAATCTCCTGGCTGAGCAGGGCTGGTTTCCATGGCGATCGCCAGGCCACTGTAGCACCTGGCATGGCACCCCACGCCCTTTATCTGAAATCCAAAAAGGGAGAGGAAAGAAAAGGGGGGGGAGGGGAGAGCGCTAGATTCCCTGCTTGGGGGGGACCTGGGCTGGAGTCCGGGCTTCCAAAAGGCCACCGCCGTGGTGGAAAGAACAGGGTTGGACTCTCAGTATCTCGACTTACAACCTTATGTAACAAATTATAGAAGCCCTCCAAGCCTCAGTTTCCCTATTTGCGAAGTGGGGTTGATGAGACTTATCTCATGGTAGAAATGAAACAGCAACCTGCCGCCGCCTGGCATGGGCTGGGCGCTCGGTAAGCAGCCATTCCTGCTTCCGCCCCGGGCCCCCTGGGCCCCCTGGGCCCCCTGCCCCCCCACCCCGGGCCCCAGTGCTGTGAGGGAGCAGCGGGACTGGATTGTAAACGAGCCCTGCAGGAGCAGGGTGAGCAGGCATTCGGGACGAGGTTGCCAGACTGAGCAAATCCAAATATAGACTGTGGTTACATTTGAATTTTAGATCCACGACAAGGAATTTTTTAAGTCTAAGTATGTAAAAACAAACCGTTTCTTTGTTGTTGATCTGACATTGAACTCCAACTGGGGAGCCTGCTTTTTACCTGGCAGCCCCGCCCCGGGGCCCGGCTTCATCTGCACGGCCTTTGTCCTCAGGACGCAAAGTCAATGGCGTGGGAATCCACGTCATTTTTTAAGCACCTGCTCATATTCTGGGGGTTTCCACATCTAGACCATCACTCAATCCTCCCAGTGACAGAGGCTATTTGGCCCTGGGAAGGTTGCCCATCAGTTTGCCCATCTGTAAATGAGGGTGAAATTGGTACCTATCTCAGAGTGTTGTTACGGGAACAAATGAGTTAATCTATTTACAACTGGGCTTGGCACATCATAAATGCTCAGCGAGTGTTCACTGTTATTATTACATTTTCTTTCCTAAGGCATTGGAAGTGCTCAGCGCCTGCCAAGCCCACAGCTTCCTTCTAAGGAATATTTTCCCACCCAGGAGATAAAGGAAGTTAAGCTGCTGTGGGTCACATTGTGACTAAGAGGGAAATTCTTTCTCTGATCGGGCCACCGCTGTCTGGACTAGGGGTCAGTGTCGGACAGTGAAATGGGGCCAGGCCGGTGGGGTGAAGCCACCTGCCGGGGAGGGAAGTGCCTTAACCCAAACCTCCATCTAAAAGGGGTGCTTGAAAGCGGGCGGTGACAGAGACTCCATCACCTTCTCCCTCGGGGCACGAGAGGATGAGATGCTACTAGAAGGAGGCAGCCTGGGTGCCCCGGTGATGCCCTAAATGTCCAGGGGACATCGTCCCAGTTCTCCATAGGCTCCAGCCGGGAAGGCTCAGTGCTGAGGCTGTGCTGGGGCTGCCCCGTTTCCCACTGCGTCGTCACCAGCTCTTCCCCTTGGTTATCAGGGCTCATCTCCCCTTTGCGACCCGAAAGGGCCTGTGTCTCAGTGGAGGAAGCAGAGCAAAGTGACCAGCACACAGCTGAACCCAGAGCCCCGCCCCAGGGCCGTTGCTCTTCCTGCTCTGCGGGCGTCTCCTGCGCTCATGCGCGTCCTCCTCGCTGCTGCCCAGAGCACAGTGGTCAACGCTGGGGACCCAGAGTGGCTGGAAGGGTAGACACAGCTGAGCTGCATTCGCAAACACCTGGAAGTGTTTCCCCCCAACAGCTGAGGGGAAATGCCCACCATTTCCTTTCAGACGAGCTCAGAAATAAAAACAATGCGCCTGGATATTGTCTGCAGAAGTCAGCTGCACAAATTCAAAGAGGCAATAGCCCAAGGGGCTGGTAGTAAAATTAATGACAGATGAAAAGCTGACCAAACAGCCCCATTTTGTTAGAAATTTTGAACATTTGCAAAAAATTGGTCAGAGAAAGTTAAACTTAGCAGAAACAATCAAGATGTTAAAATCAGGCACTGAGAAACTTACTGACGAAGAATTGACTAAAGAATAAAATCTTTATAAATTTAGATCATAACATTTGAACTTGGAAAATTGAATTTGGCCAAAAAGGAGGAAGAGGAAGAGAAGGGAAGAAAGAAACAAAACTAAATCATAACAACAGGGAGTGTAATGTGTAAAATGTATTATGATGAAGTGTTCAGAGTAGACAAATCCATAGAGACAGAGAGCAGATTAACGGTTACTAGCAACCAGGGTGGGGAGAATGGGGAGTGCCGGCTATGGGCATGGTGTTCCTGTTTGAAGGGATGAGAATGTTCTGGAATTAGATTGTGGTGATGGTTGCACAATTCTGCAAACATCCTAAAAGCCCTGATTGTACACTTTCAATGGGTAAATTGTATGGTATGTGGATTGTATTTCAATAAAGCTGTTAAAAATGTGCCATGGACAAAATCAAATTGATCGATGAATCACATCTTTGTTGCATAATTCTTAGGAAAAGAACCGATTCTGATGAAAATAACTCCAGTAAGATATAAAGAAAAATGTCGACAACAGTTGAACTGCCCTGCATAGCAGATTGATCAGGGAGCTAAGTGGACTCCATGGGGTTCGCCCTGGAAAATACTTGCACCATGAAAAGTCAGCAGCACAGGCATAATTCTGGTTTAAGTGTCTGTGTTCACAAACATGGTCCTCGAGTCCAAGAGGTGCTAGTTGCTCTCCTCCCCCGCCCCAGGACAAAGCCCAGTCCGAGGCTGAGCCGGGGTTCTGGCCACGGGGCTTCAGGATGGTGGGGGTCCCATCCTCTCTGCATTTTCCCAGTGCTCACCTTGCTTTGCAAAGCGTTTCCTGCGCATCTTGGCCCGGCGTCCAGCAAACAGGGCACTGACCTTCTCGGTCCAGGTTGCCTGACTGTCAGTATCTGCAACCCCGCAGCGGGGCCGTGCCATCTGGCGCAGGGTGGCCGGGTCCAGCACGCCGCTGACAGGCAGCTGGGACACCCACTGGAACTCCCTGTCAGGAGGAATCGAGTTAAAGGACCACAGAGGGAGGGTGGGGGTGAGGGCGGGGAGCTTCCCTGGGGACAGCAGGAAGCTGGGACGGGGTGGGGGTTGGGGGTGGAGGGAAGGGGCAATGGAGCACGGTCCCCGGACCCATGTGGAGGGGCAGCCTTCCCCCAGGAGGGAGAAGACACCGCAAGCTTACACCCCGCCACCCAAGTCCTCCATACCCCTCCATCCTACCTGATGGCGTTGCTGAATCGCGAGGAGGGGGCAGATTTGGAGACCTGTTCACTGAGGTAGCCATACCTCTCCAGGAATGCCTGGGGGAGAGGCGAGCATCAGCTTTTCCCACTGTGCGGCGCCCTTTCCCTCCCTTGGTCCCAACAGGCTCTACGAGCTAAGGCAGAAAAAGTCCTGGGATCAAAGTCAGCCGGACCTGGACTTAGCCCCGGGCCACCAACAATTGACAAGCTGGATGGTCTTGGCAAATCACTCAATGTTCGTGAAACTTAGCTTCCTCATTTTTAAAACTGGCCAAGCAGCCCTGACTGGTGTGACTCAGTTGGTTGGGCATTGTCCTACAGAGCGAAAAGTCGCAGGTTTAGCCCCTAGGCACCGCACAAGGGGCAACCGATGGGGCTTTCTCTCTCACATTGATATTCCTCTCCCTCTTTCTCCCTCCCTTCCCCTCTCTCTAAAAATAAATAAATAAAATCTTTTTTAAAAAAAGAGAAGCAACTAGCTATGCCACGAGGTGGGAAAGGGGTTTCCGGGCAGAGGAGCAGCAAATGCCAAAGCCGAGCTAGGGATGGCGCGGCCTGTTGAAGGAATGGAGAGGAGGCTGGCGCCCAGTGCGCGTGAGCAGCAGGGCACGGGATGACGTCAGAGAGAGAGGTGGACTGCCTGCTGGGGCGAGAGATGTGAGTTTTATTTTTATCTTATTGAAGGATTAATTGTGGGGAATGAAAGAAAGGGAGGAACCCCGGATGGGTCCTGAATTTCTGCTTCGGAAGACGATGCCATGGACGGTGTGTGGGAGCCTGAGGGAGGAGCAGGTTGGGGCGGCGCGGCTAACGGGAACTCTGATGGTGTCAACGGGGACCGGCTGTGTGATCCTGGGGCTCCGGGGAGAAGCTGGAAACTCTCAGCGTTCGGGGTGTCCAACCTTTGGGTGTCTCTGGGCCACACTGGAAGAAGAGTTGTCTTGGGCCACGCATTAAATACATTGCGACACGATATCCCAAAAAAATCTCATCGTGTTTTAAGTAAATGTACGGTTTTGTGTTGGGCGGCGTTCACAGCCATCCTGGGCTACACGTGGCCCACGGGACGCAGGTTGGACACCCCTGGCTGTGGATCTGGATAAGATCCTCCCAGGAAATTAGTATAACAAGCACATCCCACCCTCGAAACGCCTTTCATTCACTGCCCACCCTCATAGACCTGGAAGCTGCTTTCTCAGTGGCCCAACCACGTTCTTGAAAGCCAGTGGAGAAAAGCGTGTGACTCGTTGTCCTCACCTGTCACTAGGCCCACCCAGAGCGGGAATCAATGTACGGGGCTCCCAGCTTGCCCTTCTCGCTGATAAAGCTCCGTGAATGGATTCTTCCGTGTCACCTCAGCTGCTTAATTCTCACACAGACACATACTGTCTCTTCATTTTCACCCCTCCTTGCTGCGCTACCCGCACAGAAATAATTTCCTGTTTTCCTTGTTCTCTCAGTCACTTTTCTTTGCCGTATATCTTAACTCAGGTCAACTCCAATTAGAGCTGCTGCCTCAAGAAAGGGCACAAAACGGGTAGGAAACCAGACACTGGGCCAGGATGACCAGCCCCTAAACCTTTGTAAATATTCAGACTTCTCTGTGGATTTCCATCCACCATTAGTGACCTCCCTGTCCTCTTGTCAAAGAAGCCACTTTCCATAAGGAGCCCTTATTCTCGTTAACAGGACAGCTCCTAAGTCTGTGTTACTGTTTTTCTGCATGAACTTATTAGAATTTCAGCACCATTGTTTTCTTTTTTTTTTCCCCCTTTGCCCATGTGCGCTATTTTGGGTTGCATAATGGATTAAAAGAGTTCTTAGTGACTTAATCTGGAAGACTATTTATTGCTCAAAATAGTGTGACATCATGGAAGAGCCACTGGGCTTGGAATCCAGAGTCTGTTCCCAACCCTGGCCCTGCTGGGTGGCCAGAAACGAATTCCTTAACTTCTTTGAGCCTCCATTTCCTCACCCACAATGTGAGAACAAGAGCAACCCCCACAGGATGCTCAGAAGGATTAAATAAAGCAATGCACACCCAGTGGAGTGCCTGGTGTGTAGTACATGTTCAATGAACAGCCGATCGAGCTGATTTAGCTGACAGGGACAACTAACAGCAGACTTTCGGAATGCAACCGTCCGCAAGCTGGGAGCTGCTCTGAGTAAGGCAGTTACAGCTCCGTCCTCCATTCAGGCGCTCTATCCCAGGACTGCCTCACCCCGGCCAGGTGCCTGGCTCTCGCTTCCTTGCCGGCTGTCCCCTTCCCCCTGGTGAGGATGGACAAAGTGGCTTTTTAAGGCAAGTCAGGGAATTACTTGTCTCCGTAGAAGCAGTTTTGCTGAGTGAGTGATTTGAAAGAGACCGGGTCACAGGCCAACAGACTGGTACTCCTTGCGTCCCTCCCCCCAAACCCACCCAGCCCTTATCAGGGAGTTGGCTCCAGTTCTGGAGCTAAGAAAGCCTTGGACTGAGGGGGAGGCCGGAGGGGAAATTGACGAGCGGCGTCTCCTGTTTCCTGCCTGGTATTTTGGCAGACAAGGTAGGGTTGGGGTGGAGGCCTTTTTCAGGGGTCCATCAGAGGGAAGGTCTTTCTCCTGACCCTCTCTGGGACGCTGTGGGTTGCAAGGCATAGCTGAATTCCAGGGACGCCAAGAGCACGTGTTCACAACATCAGCCAAGAGACACCGAAAGAATGAGAAAAAGAAATGTTAAGAATTTGACATTTTGTATTTCCATAAAAGCACTGAAGTGTTATTATGGAGATTAGCAGGACATAAGGACACTCTTATGCTTATTTTATGTTTAATATACCTATAACTAGAAAGATTTTAACCACAAGGAAGGGCGCCCTTAAGGCTGTCAGCGCTGAGCACTCCAACGCTCTGTTCAGGGGGTAGACCTAGGTCCCTGGGGAGGCGCAGGCAGGGTTGCGACACCTCTGCTCCCGGAGCTGCCCCCAGCCCTCTTCTGCGAGTCCATCTGCTGGGCCTCAGTTTCCCCCTGCAAAGGTGATGGAAACACCCCTGTGCGCGTGTCCCCACCCCTGTGGGGAGGGGACAGTGTAGCGAAGGGGCCCCAGGAGAAGAGGCTGGAGCTCTCGTTCCGTCTCAGCTCGACACTAACCGCCTTGAGGAGTCATTTCCCTCCCAGGCTGCTGTTTCCCTGGGGGCCCGTGCCCTCTCGGACCTGTCTGAGCCCCACGCTGGGTCTCCCTGTCCCCGTTCCTGGATATAGTACCTGGCCTGTTCCTCTCCGCCTTGTGATTCAAATACCAGGCTTTCTCCCTTTCCTGTTCTCCCCACATCCTCTCTGGGGGAGCCCAAGGCTGTGCCCCTTCGGTGATTCACCCTGCCTGGGCCTAAATGCTGGTTCCAACCTGCCTCACCCACTTGGTCACGGCTGGAGACACTTTCCTGGGAAGTCGCCTCCAAAAAGCCCTGGGAGCGTCGGGGGTGTTTGGGTAAAACATAAAGGGCTCTTCCCGGGACCCAGAAAGCTGGGTGGAATCAGAACGCTGGGGGTTCTAGTCCTGCACCGGTCCTGACTTGTCGTGGGAGGGTGTGTAGAGCCCAGCCCATTTAATGCCTGAGGGACAGGGAGATTCTGGCCATTTCAGAGCAGGGCAAGACTAGCAACAAGGTGCAAAGCGAATCCAGGCCTGAGTCAGGAACTCTGAGTCACTGGACTATGTCTTGAGTTGTATTCCTGCTGCTGGCCGTGTGTCCCTGGGCAAGCTCTGTGCCTCTCTGGGCCTTAGTTTTCTCTTCTGTAAAATGCAAGGGTTGGATTAGAGCTCTGTTATACTCCACTTCTGTCTATTACTGTAGCCTTGCTTTGGCAGCCGATTACCTGTGTGAGTAATGACAATGTTACTCACCCTCTCTGTGCCCCAAGGTATAAAATGGGGGTAAGAATACAGCTTATGCCCTGGCTGGTGTGGCTCAGTGGACTGAGTGCCGGCCTGCGAACCAAAGGGTCACCAGTTCGATTCCCAGTCAGGGCACATGCTTGGGTTGCAGGCCAGGTCCCCAGTTGGGGGTGCATAAGAGGGAACCACACATCGATGTTGCCCTGCCTCTCTTTCTCCCTCCCTTCTCCTCTCTCTAAAAATAAATAAATGAAATCTAAAAAAAAAAAAAGAATACAGCTTATGTTTCTTATAGGAGCATCATGAAAACCCAGTAAGAAGATGCTTAGGAAGCTTTATGATAATTGTCCCATTAAAAACATTATTTTCCCCACTATAATCACAAAGCTTTACTTCTGGAAGTCTGTGGGGGCGGGGAGCAGCTCCCAGTCTCAGATCCAGAGTGGCTGTGATATCCTCTATATCAAAGAATTGCAGCAGCGAAAATGAAATGAGGAATTAAAAAATTGCAAAATGGCAAGCTCATACAGAAACCAGGTTGTTTTACTTATGATTTATTCCATCTCATTTTATGTTCCATTTAATTTTAGTCTTTTCATAGTGACTCTACATGACTGTGCTTATCATTCAATACATCTTTGGCATTATTAGCCGTGTCAAGATGCAAAGGATGATGGTGGGCATTGTGCCTTGCATGTCCTATACATCAAAATGTTTTCTGATAATCAGGAGTACAGTGAGCTCTTCGCTGTTGTAGAGCTTTTGAGGGGGTTACAGCTGCTTTGAGCTTTGCAATCACCTTGCAAGAATATAGACAGGAAAGGCATTGTTATTTCCATTTTAAAGACCAGGACAGTCAGTCTCAGCGGAGGGCAGTGTCTGAGTGAGCGACGGAACCAGCGTGTGAGTCTGAATCCTTCACATTTAAACAAGTGACTCAGGGGCTTTAAAACGGAAGGAGCAGGGGCTGAGCTGCTCTCCCCACAGGGCAGACAGCCGTCCAAGAAGAACGACGCAAACCCAGGGCTCTTTCTAGCTGGTTTCCTTCTGTCTCCTCCACAGGCAAGTCCTGGGCGGAGCAGAGGGAAGGAGCTGCTCAGGCCACTGACCTGGCTTTCAATGGAGGCTGGGATCACTTCTTCCATCACACCCAACCCGGCCGTCTGACCCACCGCAGGTGTTCCGCAGGCCTGGAGCACGCTCCGCTCCGTCACAAAGACATGTGACTCCAGGGGTCTTAGCTTTCGCTCCCTGGCCCCTGGGGCCCACTGAAGCTCGGGGCAGGGGGGCCAACTTGGCCCCTTTCCATTATTTTGGGGGAAAGCTTGCCCTTCCCTCTGCCAGACTCCCTTTCTCTGCTCTTCCTTCCCTTTTTCCCTAGTCTCATACTCACAGATTCTGTCTGGGTATAACCAAGATGCCTCTGACCGTACCCCCTGCTCCCCTCTCCTTTTCTGTCCTTAAGGATGCTGGGAAACGTTAGCTGGCCAGCCTCCGCCCATACCCTGTCTTGTACTTTTTCCGATGTCACACAACCATGCTGTGGGGATCCTTGGTCTTCACTCGGCTTGCAGGGCTAAATTTGAGGCACCAAGGACCAAGCACCTGTCTCTCTATTCTTTGCCCCTGCTTCCACCATGCAGGTTTTACTAGGTTTCTAGGTTTTCAAGGTGGCTTGACAACTGCTTTCTCACCAACCCATGGCCCTCCAGGACCTTTCAGAGCCTCTTCTGCAATTCTATTCACCCTGTACCCGTGAGTCACCGAGCTGAGCTCTTGGTGTGGCTTCCACGCCCGGGCGTCTGAGTTTCTGACTCACAAAAAGTCAAATGAATGGCTCTGGGGTATGAGAAACAGACACTGCATCTGGAGGGTGGATACTCCACAGAAGCTCCAACGTCTCCCAGGAGAAACAAACTCCCCAGCTCCTCGCCGTGCGGCACACTGGGAGGGGCCATCGGATATACGGAGGCCCCTGAGCGGCAGGCTGGGCCTGGACACGCTTGCCTGGTGGTTCTAAGGACAGTCTGAGCGAAACATGGTAGATAGATCCCTCGGGATCGTCCGTGTCGCCCAAGAACAGGGAAGGGCCCGGCTGGGAATGGGAGTGGGGCCGGGGTGATGTCATTCATTAACTCTCAGTCTTGCAGCTCAGCAGCGGAGGCCCTTCCTCCTCACGAGTGTGGTGAGCGGCCCTAGCTTCCCAAGTGGGCAACAATGAACTTGTTCATAATGCAGCTTTGTAAGCAGCCAGGCTCCTCCCAGGCAAAGCCCACTCCAGAAAGCCCTCAACTATATTACTTTGTGTGCACAGAGGGGATGCTTACAGCCATGCACACAGGGCACAGGGATGCACATGGAGACAAGGGGACAAGAACACGTCCAGACAGACAAACACAGACACACAAGCAGATGAGGCGTACATATGCATGCGCACGCACACGCACAGGCACACAAACACACCACGGCCACAGAATGTTAGCACTGGAGAGAACCTTAAAAGCCCTTTAAGAAAATCAACTCCCTTTACAGCAGAGGAAACTGCAGCCTGGAGAAGTGAAGGAAAGGACAAGATCACACCGCTTGTCTTTATTCTTTCTTTCCTTCTGTGTCCTGAAATCCGACCTTTGCCCATGAGCTCAGTAGGACCGCTCTGCTCCCCCGGCGTCGGGTTCTCTGCGCCGGTCAGGGACTTGGACCTGCCAAAGAGCTGGCGTGATCACGGGGCTTGCCTTGCGTGGCTGAGTTTCCCCGAATGGCCGCACCATTTCCCATTTCCATGCTCTTCTCACGATGTGACGTCAACAGCCCTCCCACTGATCGTGGGGCCCACGGCCCGCCCCTCCATGACTGCCCCAGCAGAAGTGATGCTGCCCGACCTCCTACTCCAGGTCAGCAGGACGGCGCAGGGTCTTCTGCCCCCCTCTCTCCCTCCTCTCTCCTACCCAGAACACTCCTCCTGGAGGCCCGTCCACCATGCTCTGAGGCAGCCCAAACTGGCCACGTGGGGAGGCCCTGCGGACAGGCCCAGGCGGGGAAGAACCGAGGCCGCCAGCGCCCAGCCAGCGCCCAGCCAGCGCCCAGCCAGCGCCAACCACCAGGTAGGGGAGTAAACGGCCTTCAGATGAGTCCATCTCCAGACACTGTGGAGCAGAGACAAGCTGCCCTGAGGTGCTCTGTTTGAAATTCTGACCCACGGTATCTAAGAACATAACACACGGTTGTTTTACTTGACTAAGTTTCAGGGACATGGGTAGTGTAGCCATAGTAACTACATCATCTCAGGAACCTCAGCCCCGTGCTGTCTGTTGTCCAGTGCGGGAAACAGTTGCCTTACTATTCTCTAAAATAACGGTAAAACTACGAACAACAACAACATTGAGAGCAACTTCCTTTTATAGACAGCATTCTATGTCCGAGGGACTGTGCTGATCTCAAAGAATCCACACAATAATCTTTTGAAACAGGCATTTTTAGCCCCTACTGTGCAGAGAAGAAAACTGCTTCACAGAGGTTAAACCTTTGGTTTGCACACAGGTCTGTCTGACACTGAAGACCATGCAACTGACCATATGCAGAAACACACATAGACATACTGACACACACACCAATTTACACATATACACATATGTATGTACATGCATAGGCAGGCACATGGAGACACTACATACCCACTACGCATGTCCAGAGACTTCAATGTTTTTAAAATATTTCTTGTTTTCAGAGTTAAATCCCTTCCCCCCAAATTATGTTAAAAAGACTGAAAGAGAGTTAATCTGCTAGATATTACATTTCCCAAGCACACTCCCAAGATGAAATTCTCTCCCTCTGAGGCCGCCGCAGGCCTGAGCGGCGTAGACATTGTCTCTATTCCCCTGCCAAGGATCTCCGGGGACCTGGGCTTGGGGAGAGGTGGAGTGGGACTCTTAACAAGACTTGGCTTGGGAGGTGGAAGCTTTCTCCTGGGACCACAAAGATTCTGCACTTGATGTTGTAAGACTCTAAATTCAGAGAACCAAAGTGACTTTTAACTGTCCTTAGGCAGTGAGCACAGAGCAAGACACCAGTGCTTGGACGGGGAATTTGAGAAAGGATCTCCTGGTTGAAGCAGCGTCTTTTCCAAGACATTCCAGGGCAGGGACAGGGGCTGGTTGATGGAAGGAAGCACCATTCAGCGAGGGCCTTCCTCCGTTTCCCCGATTCAGACCGACTCTTTGGGGAAGGGGAGTGGGAGGGTCCTGAGGAGCGCTCAACTGGCAGTTTTAGAGCAAGAATGATGCTCTTTTCTTTTCTTTTCTTTTTAAGGAATGATGCTCTTAGGTGAGTGAGAGTCTCAGGGCAGAGCGCTGAGCTTAGTAATTTAGAACTTAACTCGTGTCCCTTCGCCTTAAAGTAGTGGAGTCCCCAGTCCTATTCCTGAGAAGAGGTAAGAACACAGACAGGAATACTTCTTAGGAGGCCAAAGAAATGATACTGGTGTATTGTTACAGTCATCTTTATCTAGACAGTAGATGTCCCAAGTCCACCTCCACGCCTACGCCTTATGCATCCTTCAGCGAGCCGCTGAGTCCAAAGGAGGAAGACGACAAGGGAAATCTTTACAGTTCATCTCCACCTTCCTGCCCTCTCTTCTTAAGTTCAGCCCAGGAGCACTGTGTGAAGTTCCTCAGGAGCAACTCTCGAGAGCAGTGCACCATTTCACACTTGAAGAAACTCGTCCTGAGCTTGGGCGCTGACTTGCCCAAGCTGGTTAGTGGCAGCACCCGCCCAGAAAAGCCAGTCCTGTCCCCGGTGTCCCAGCCCAGTCAGCGGTACCCTCTACACCGCACCAACCTAGGGGCCTCCACCGTGTCTGACGCGCGGGGAGGGCCTGGGGCGTCCGATGAATGAGCTGCCAAGTCTCCCCAGCTAAGGCGGTGAGGGGCAGGGCTCCGTGCCGGGCTGGGGCGCAGGGGCTCCCTCTCTCTGAGCTCTCGTCTGTCTGTACCATCTTGTCTCTCCCTCCTTCCCCCGCCCGGAAAACTCCGTGCAGATCCGCGTGCCCGTGCGGTCCCAGCCCTGACTCGGGGGCGAACGCTGCCCCAGGTTCTTTGTGTGCAAGTGCGAAGGGTGCAGAGGACAGGGGGAGGGGTAGCGCAGATAGGCAGCAAAGCTAGGACGGCCGGGGGCCCTGCACACAAAGTTCCCGCGGCTCTCGGCCACGCAGACCCGCTCCGCCCCGCACACACCCCTTACCTCTGCCTCCCTGCGCAGCTCCTGGCCCGGGCGCTCCGCGACCTGGGCGCCCAGGCCGCCCCACAGCAGCAGCGGCAGGGCGCGCAGCAGGAGGCCCACCCGCGCGGCCATCGCGCCGCCGCGCTGCAGCGGAGCGCGGGGGAGCGGGGAGCTGCCGAGCGCGGGCAGCCCGTCAGCCGTCAGCAGTGCTGGGGGCTCCGCGGATGCCCCGACTTCGCGCCCCCGCGCGCGGAGGGGGAAGGTTCTGGGGCGTCGCCAGTGCCCGGGCTCCGCGCGCTGGGCGCCTCCTCTGGGACACTTCTCCGAGAGCGGGTCCGAGGTCGTCCAGCTGAGGCAGTGCCTGCTCAGTGGGTCGCCCGCCCGGGGACCTAGAAGGCAAGGGAGGGAGGGAAGGAGGGAGGGCGGAGGGGCGGGAGCCCAGCCTGCGGCCCCACCCACCCCACTCCGCCGCAGGAACGCGCGGCGGTCCCGGAGCCTTTTCCGCTGGCTGTGCGGCCTCGCCCGGTGCCCGCCACCTCGAGTCGATCCGGATCTCGCTGGGGAGAGCGGAGTGGGGTGGGGTGCGGGGAAGGAGGCTTCTCCTGGCCGTTATAGCCACCTACGACCTCTGTAAGAGGGGTCCTGGCCTACCTGAGGGTCATTGATTGTTTCAGCCAGGCTGCAAGGAAGAACCTGGAGGGTGAGAGGGGAGTCCTGGGCCGGCGTCTGCAGAATCGGAGTTCCGATCTGCTTTTTTTGCTAGCCGTGTACAATCCTGCTTCAACTGCCTGCTGGCTGTGTGGTCCCGGGCGAGTCAACCAGCCTCTCTGAACCGATTTTTCTCATCACTACCTGGGGATAATAATACCAGTATCATATCATCGTAGGGAGCATTTAACGAAAGAATAATGCCTGTAAGTAACTCAGCACCGTGCCTGACATAAGGAAGTACGTGTTTAATAAATGGCAGCCTGCAAGCATTGTGACCTTTGGCAAAGGACTTAGCTACTCTGAGTGTCAGTTTCCTCATAAACAAAATGAGAGCAAATGATATTTAGTTCCTGGAGTTGCATGAAGGTTAAAAGAGAAAATGAGTATCAAGCGTCCGCCTTTATGGATCCCACAGAATCCTAGTGAAGGAGGAGTGAAATGATTCACGTGAAACTCACACTGAGCAAAAGTAACCTGTTTTCATTATTTGCCTTAGTAACTGAAAGCAGGTTAGTGCCTCTCTTGTGGTGTCAGTGTGCTAATCTGTAAAATGCAAAGGGCTCAGTGATACCTACCTCTAGAAATTGTGTGGATTAGAAAATTTGACCTATGTAAATCATTTGGAATCTATAAAGTGCTAAACAAAATAATGAAGTGTTTTTATCCTAAGATTTAGGGCCTTGGATTGTTAATACAGAGTGGTTTTGTTATTTCGAAAAAGGTGCTACCGTGGTGGAGAAATTTTAAAAAGTATTTATTGATTGATTGATTTTAGAGAGAGGGGAAGGAAGGGACAGGGAGAGAAACATGGATTGGTTGCCTCTCCTACGCATCCCAACCAAATCTGAGATCCAGGCATGTGCCCTGACTGGGACTCTAACTGGAAACTTTCTACTTTGCAGGACGCCATCTGAGCCACACCGGTCAGGGATGGGGGAGGAATTTTTAAAAGCCTCCTCTTTGATTATACAGCCTGTCTGGAATCAGGGGCCCTAGTGGGCGGGGTAATTGGAAAGGCCCCACCCACCTCCCAATCAACCAATGAAAATGGGGTACTCATGTGGGAGAACCAATTAGACGCTCCTCTGGCAGACCAATGAGAAAAAGGCTCCTTTCCTAGGCGTCGCTGTGCCATCCACTGGGGGCGCAGAGTGGAGTATGGACTTCTTTCCCCGTTCTCTTCTCCAGGGGTGCTCTTGTGCACATCTGTAGAGAGAGCCCTTGGCTGGAATGGAGCCCCAGAGGCTGTGGACAAGGCCTAAGCCATACTTTCAGAGAGCTTTCAGTCTAGCGAGCTAGACTATAGCGAAGGTTCTCAGCTGAGGCCAGAACAGACTGGACACAGCTACAGGTTCGAGAGAGGTCCTGTGGTCAGTCAGCCTGCAGGAGGGAGAGTCTGAAGGGCAGTCCGGTAAGGTTGCCAGATTTAACAAATAAAAATAAAGGATGTCCAGTTAAACCTGAGTATCAGATTAACGACGAGTCATTTTTTTAGCAAAAAGTATTACCAATGCAGTATTTGGGACATACACAAACTGAAAAATTATTCATTATTAATCTGAGATTCAAGTTTAACTTGGTGTCCTCCATTTTATCTGGCAACCTAACCTGTATGTGTGCGTTGGGGTATGTCAGAAGGTTGCAGGTGTGACATGGTATATGGCACCTTTGACCAACAGGTGGATTTTCCAAGTTTACTTATTTATTAGAGAGGGGAAGGGAAGGAGAAGGGGAGAGAAACATCAGTTGCCTATCGTATACACCCCAACTTGGGAGAAGATACTGAACCAGCAACCTAAGCATGTGCCCTGACCAGGAATTGAACGAGCAACCTTTCACTTTGTGGGATGTCACTCAACTGAGCCACATTGGTCAGGGCCAATAAGTGGATTTTGACAGGCCAGATACAACTCTGGTTTGGGGCAGAGAGTCCTGAGGAGTACCAGCCGGTAAGGACGCTGTGGGCCAAGCTGGAGTTACACCTAGATTTGCCAATTTTTTTCTTCAGGAAGAATTTCAACATTCCTTCCCCTAGCACATCCCAGGGATTCTCTGTTTCCACTGCACTGGTAGGAGAGTGGAAGGCAGGAAACAGTGGTTCTCTGGAGGCTGAGTGACTGGGAGAAGATAGGCTCAGCCACTCAGAGAGCTCCCCCTGCCTTTCTTTGCATCCCAGGTGAACCCTGGTCTCTGGACCTCAAGCACCACTACTCTGTTTGAAAGTTGCCTTGCTCGCTTTCCTTTTGTGTCTTTGGTTGGATTACTTCACCCCATCCTTACGTCTCCCCATCCCACCTCTGCTTATGGTCACTTGGCAATGACATCGAGACTTGGAGGTGCCTGCAAGGCTTTGTGCAGAACAGCCTTTCCTTCGCCCACACACTCACCATGGGCTTCAACCAGGCCTTTGCACAGACTGTCTCTGTTTCCCGGGAAGACAGCGTATGTCCGTGGTTAGAACCTGGGTAGCAGAGGTTTCTGTTCCCTTCTGCCTCTGAAGTTCACTCAAAACCCCAGAGCAACGAATTCTGTGATCTTCTGGAATCCAGGGGTCTATGCAGCTTCGCAATCAACTTGCTGTTTGGTTTTATCATCCAGGACACATGATGAACCAAGTAACTTCTGATGGGGTGGAGAAGGAAGGCAGCTTGCCATGTGAGAGGGATCCAGGAGGAAAGGCAGACGAGAAAGGCAGGGTGGTTTACTGGAGGAAGCTCAGTCCACAGCCAGGGTATCGGAAGAGTGATGGAAGGAGGATGGCTTTGGAGCAGGGATTCTCAAAGCACAGTCCAAAGATCACCCACATCTGGAACAATACTGCGGTGACAAATTGCCGTATCAATCCAATACCATCGTTTCTTCCTCTGGTGGGAGAGGGGGTGGGGACGGGAATGAGGAGTTGAAACAAAATAATAATGGTATACACTTGTTGAGAAATTAACATGAGCCATGTATGTGCTATGTGCTTTACACAGATCATGTCATTGAATCTTTGCAGCTACTATTCATAAGCATCCTTATCTTAAAGATGAGGAAACTGAAGCACAGAGAGATTATCACTTCTCCAAAGCCAAAAATCTATTAAAGGAGTCAGGGTTCAAACCTGGATCAGATCTTCTGCCTGTAAGCACTACACTATCTTGCCTCAAGTCAAATTTATAAAATGTGATTCCTGGATCACCTGCATTGAATCACTCAGAGGCACATATTAAAAATTCAGCTTCCAGAACCCTACTCCAAACCTACCTAATCACTAAGTACTAGATATCAATGATCAGGAGGAAGACAGTCCTAGGTTCTCAAGTATCTCGCTCTCTCCTCCCTTCTCTCTATCTTGGCTGTGCAGGTTCCTGATGCAGCTAGGCCGGCAGTCCTCTCCACGCCTCCTCTTCAAAGACGGCTGCTTCCCTTCCCTCCCTCTCCCTGCGCTGGGCTTGGTTCAGATCCCCTGTGCCCCTCAGCCTTCCCTAGGTGGACAGGACTTGTGGAATTCAAGCCAGGGCTTGGACATGTTGCCTGCCCAGGCTGGCAGCTGCCTGGGCCATTCCTTCTTCTCTGACAGAAGATGACAGTTGGCCAATGAGTCGTTTTCCTGACCAGGACCTTTCGAATCAGGCAGGACGTGTGGACCTGGACAAGGCCCCTCTGGGCCTCAGTTTCTCTCTTCATAACACGAGAAACAATCAGCTTTGTCTCTGCCCCTTCCTCCTCCCCAGGAAGTGTGCAGAACACAAAGCAGATTTTATCAGAACGAATTCTGGGCTCCAGAGAAAGGCACTAACAGAATGCTCAACCTCTGAAAACCATAATAATAGGAATAAAAAGATAAGGCCACGAGATTAGCTTGGGAGAGCTGAAAGGAGGCTTTCCCCAGAGTTTTGAGGAGTTTTGCTGTGATTCTTTGGATTCTTTATTGACCATAATCTCTGCATTATTAGCTGTGATTCCTGACTTTCTAGCCATCACTTCTGCCTCTGAAACAGAACTTTCCCTTCTCCAGCACACATGGATGTGATTTCATCAGTCTGGGTCACATTCGCAAGTATCCCTACCTATCTATCTACCTCCCTGTACTTATATACACGTGCACATCTTCATATGAGGTTGGAACATCAAGACATTTGCAGAAAGACAGATCTGGGTTTGAATCTCGGCTTTTTCACACTCTGTTGAAACTTGCAAGTCAACTGCCATATTTTGCCTTGTATGACTCACACCCACGTTTTGTGTGCACTATGCACAGGATTATTATACCCATGGTATGTAATCATTACACCCATGTATAGTGCGCATCTTTATCATCCCCCAAAAAATTGGGCAAAAAGGTGCGCGTTATACACAGCAAAATATGGGTGATCTCTCTGAGTTTCTGCCATCTTAAAATGGGACCTTGGTTTGCTATAGGGAGCAAGCTGGGCAATTAATAAATGTTAAATCCTACCAAGTGCTGGGTATTGGGTGCACAGAAACAAGCA